CTTGTCCCATTTGCCTTGAAAGAGAAGGTTTTAAATAAGTGTCTCAAAACTGTTTTGCTCCTCTTCTCTCCTGATCAAGGAACAGAGCTTTGTAAATCAAATACCATTTCTAGGGGCTGAGTTATCACCTGAGATGTGCCAATTGGTGCCCTGCGATGCTAAGTTTGTATGGACATAATGGTATCTCTAAACTTTTGTAGAAGTTAAGATGAGTTGAATTTGGCATGGGATGTTTTCTTTGCGTGAGTGCTTTCAGAAGTTAAAGACCACTCACATCTCCAATGATACCTGGAGAGGATGATAGCTTTCTTGATCACTATCTGTGCTTAATAGTAAAGGTTTTTTTTCCTTGCATCTTTGGCCACAGAGGTCTGCGACCATTTGCAGAAGCAGGCATCTCTGTTTCTCTCTTCTCACCCTTTTAGTCTCTGAATCCTAACCTGCTCGCAGTGGTGACCGAGAGCATGGATACTCATCATGAGCGCACCTTCATTGGAATCTATCTGATTGATGGGGTCACAGGCCGGATCATCCACTCTTCTGTGCAGAAGAAAGCGAAAGGACCCGTCCACATTGTTCATTCAGAAAACTGGGTGTTGGTAAGGACAAGTCAATGCTTTTAATGCTTTGTGTTTGAGAAAGAGAGAGGCAGTTATCTTTACTGTTGGCATATTTGCTAACCTTGCTCTCACTGACTGCTACCTCTGTGTGTTCACTTGTGCCCTACTGCCTTGCCTGGCTTCCTGATCAGTGTCTTGCCCTTTATTTTAGTACCAGTACTGGAACACGAAGGCACGCCGGAATGAGTTCACTGTGTTAGAGCTGTATGAAGGGACAGAGCAGTATAACGCTACAGCCTTCAGCTCCCTCGACCGCCCGTTCTTGCCTCAAGTCCTCCAGCAGTCCTATATCTTTCCATCTGCCATCAGTGCCATGGAGGCCACCATCACTGAACGCGGAATCACCAGCCGTCACTTGCTCAGTAAGAATTGCGTTAGGGCAGGGTGGAGGGTCTGAGTTACCTGCATGTCAAGTTTTGTATGCAAGGAAAAGATCTCTGTGCAATGTCTAGGGCAGTTATCTGCCATGGTAATTCCTGGGCTTGTTTAAAAGAAAAGTATATCTTTAGGTAGCCCGGGGCCTTCATCCTGTATATAAACTCTGTGCTTCATATATTCTTCTTGGCTGTGCCATGGTAGTTCACTCACAGGCTGCTTTTAGAACAACATTTGTATGCAGATCTATGATTCAGCTCTTCTTGTCTTTATGAGCCTGCTCTTCATGGCTGGCAGGTAATGGTGTCTCCATATTCTGTGGCATGCATCAGGAGGCCAGCTAGATTAGCCCTGCGAGCTCTACAGCAGTTCACTTCTAAGATATACTTCTTTTGATGTACAGTTGGGCTTCCCTCTGGGGCAATTCTTTCCCTTCCGAAGGCTCTGCTGGATCCTCGACGCCCAGAGATCCCTACGGAACAAAGCAGGTAGGAAAAATGCCGGAGCAGTAACTCCTTTTTTCTCCCCTCACTAAGAATGGATTAATTAAACATGGTAGCCTGGAATGGATTAATTTTTTTAGCCATTCCATCTGGCCAGTTTCACAGTAACTCTTAATCTGAATATAGTGGTTGCTGTCTTCTGGGTAATTGGATTGCATTGCTGCCAATCCAGGTTTGAGTAAACTGATGTGTAATACAGAAGTCCAGATAGGTTCTAAAAAGCATCTGTTGCCAGCATTCTGGTAATTAGTAGCCCACATAATTAACTGAGGTTCTTAGGATGATACTTCAACTGATACACTCCCAAAGCCTTGAACTGTACAAGGTCATACAACTTAAGAGCCCTAAAATCTAGCTACAGCCAGTTCTTGTGTATCAAGTTTTCCCCCCTTCCTCCCTTTATCCACCACTGAATGACCCTGCTCAACAATCCTTATAAAGATTCCAGTCTAGTATCACCAGACTTGTGAATCTCAAGTAAGACTGCAAGAGCGTTCCCTCTGTATTGTGTTGAGTTGGATTTTGATCCCCTTCTGTTGTCTTTCAGAGAAGAGAACTTGATTCCCTATTCCCCAGATGTGCAAATCCATGCTGAGAGGTTTATCAACTACAATCAAACCATATCTCGAATGAGAGGGATTTATACAGCCCCTTCTGGTCTGGAGTCTACGTGCCTGGTGAGTACAGAATAGGTGTACTTTGTAAAATCTGGCACTGAGGGATCAAAGAGGATGGTTTCAAAACTTCTTGCAAGGAGGAGGGTGTAACTTCATGATAGCTCATTATTTCATGGTTTCATGAACTGTATTTTGCTTAATTGCAACCATAGATATGGATCTGTCACTGTGTGTGTGAGACTGGATTTGTGTTTTATGCTGCCCTAACAGCTAATGGTCTCATTTAGGTTGTTGCTTATGGGCTGGACATCTACCAAACCAGAGTCTACCCGTCCAAGCAGTTTGACGTTCTGAAAGATGATTATGACTACGTGCTGATAAGCAGCGTCCTGTTTGGACTGGTTTTTGCCACCATGATTACAAAGAGACTTGCTCAAGTGAAGCTGCTGAAACGTGCGTTGCCTGCGTGAATCTTCTTGACCGTGCGTGGCGGTAAGCAGACAGGTGAAGGGGACACCGAGACTGGAAAAGAGGCTGACTGGGATTCTGAGTAGCTGATCATCTCCAGGAGTGCACACCATAAGTCGGCTTAAATATATGTTACAAACCGCACTGCTGTGAGGGAGGCAGGGATTTATATCACAGTTCTGCTGGAGGAGATTTAAAGGGAGGAGCTGCCAGTAGAGGAAATGTTTATTACCTCTAGGGAGATTTCCTTTCCAGGACAAGACATTTTAATGAGATTAAAAAGATTCATCAGTCAACCCAGGACTTTACTGAATCGGTCTGGAAAAAGAACCACCTATGACAGTTTTCTTCAAAGCCCCAAAATTTGGTGACTCCGTTATTTTTCCGGAAGCACTTTCCCCAACCTTTAACAGAGATTAACGCCAAGATATTAAGGATGAATTTTTTTCCCCTCTAGTTTGGGGTGTACTTCCAGACCACATGATGGCTTGCCTCTTACCTGCCCCAAACACAACTAAAATCTTGGTAAGAAGGAGGATCCCTTCATTAATACCTGCTGTAGTAAGAAAATCAGAGTTTGTAAATGTGAGAGCTACTGTACATGGGGCATGAGAAGAGGGGACATTGGGTAAGTTCGCCAGGAGAATATCTAAATGATGCACGCAAATGCACACTAACTGATCAGCTCGTTTAAAGAAATTGCAATGACACAAGGGGGAGTTTGAGGGAAGATATTGGTGAATAAAACTTTTCCATAGCCTTTATTTATTGCAACTGCACCGTATGGTCCTTCCTGCTTTTTAGTTTATTAAATGTTTGCACAACACAGACCTCATTGCTTGGATGTTCCTGGGGATATTTTTCTCTGGTTAAAAAAAAATATTTTGATGTGTGAGAGCAAACATGAGATGCCAGTTGCCTTGAACTGCATCTGTAAACACCCTGTGTTCACACTGAATAACTAAGTGATAACATGAAACTGGGTTTAAAAATGTTGGGGGGTTTGTTTGGGGGGTTTTTGGAGTGAAGAGACTTGCAATTTATTTTCCTTCCATGTATCATGGATGGTCATTCTTGGCATGAATTTTAATATTCAGTTTCTAATTTTAAGTTATAAGTTGTTGGGATATTAAAGGTATTTTGGCACAGCCCAATGCAGCGCTATGCAGAAATACCCAAACGAGCTCAGGTACTAGAAGCAGTGTAACTTCCTCAGTGTAGTGCTCCGTTTGGGCTAATTGTCACTTCATTAGTATCGCACTCCAGCTGGACTAAGTAGCCTGGGTGGAGTGCCTCGCTAATGCAGCTATACTATATCTGATACTCAAATAACCTTGGTTAGAAATAGCATCGCTATGGTACTACACTGTGCTGTACACAAACATACCCCAAGTGTTCACATTTATGTTGGGCAGCCTGCGTGCTGAAATGGTTGCAGCTTCGAACACTGAGCTAAAGGGCTTTGCTGCTTTGGAAGGAGCCTTTGGTGGACGTATGCTGGAGTGGGGTGTAACCAGATGGCCAGTATCTGTAACGAACTTGATTTTGTTTTCAACTGTGAAAGCGGTGTGCAGTTGTGTTGCGTCGCCTGGAGGACTGTGGGATCAGCCCTTTTGTATCCATGTGCGGGTCATCTAAATAAAAGCAGTTTGAGCAGTAGCCATGAGAAACGCCGTGTATTTCTGTGAGAACGCTGTGGTGGTCGGGGTCTGCGGCTTCCCTGTACGGTGTGTGTCATTTCCTCAGCCAGGTCACAGCACTTGTTCAAAAAGGAAACCATAAGACCTTTACCCCCTTCAATATGCATGTGTGCGTGTAAAGAATTTTTCCACCTATTTGAGTTGGTCTAAAAAAACATGCCAGATTTACCCAAAGAACCTTGTCTGCCTGTGTCCTTAGACCAACACGGCTACAACCAACACCCCTGTAACACACACGTGTGTGTATAATACATATACACACACACCTATACAGATAAGTACATATGTGTGTACATATACACCTGTCTGCAGCTTTAGAGGCGTATGTGCACGTTTATGTGTGTATGTCTTCTAGGCTGCTGCTCAGTTGAAGGTGTGTGTGTGCAGGTTTACAGGTCTGTACGTATACACGTGTGCGCGCAAGGGGAGCCCCGGATCCAGACCCACGGGTGCGAGGAGACTTAGCGCTTCCTCCCCCCCTTGCCCCGCTGGGCGCCCCGGTGACGTAACCGCCGGGCCCTGCCTACTGCGCCTGCGCAGCACGAAAGGTGCAGAGCGGCTCCTCTTCCCGGCGCCGCCAGAATTGCTGAGTCACTGCGCCTGCGCTCCAGCTGCCTTTTCCCCCCCCTCCCCTCAGGCCTATCCGTCATACGTCTGCGACGCGGTCGTGCCAGGCTCAGGGCGAGTTACGTCACTTCCCGTCCGGTTTTCCTTTCCCTCCGGAGAAGGAGGAGGTAGTGGCGGCCACAAGATGGCGGCGTCGGGCGGCGTCGGCGCGGCGGAGCCGGGCTGGGAGGTGGCGGTGCGGCCGTTGCTCTCCGCCTCCTACTCGGCCTTCGAGCTGAAGGAGCTGCCGCAGCTGCTCGCCTCGGTCATCGAGAGGTGGGCCGGGGCCGGGCGGGCCGCGCTTCCCCCCTCCACTTGCCCTAGTCGCAGTCGTCCCGGCCTGTGGCGCTTTCCCCTCCCAGCAGCCAGGCCTTGTAGCTGTCAGGAAAGCGGTCCCCGAGCCTCATTTACCTTCAGGAGGGCCCTTTATGGTTCACTTCACCCCTTTATACTCCATTTAGTGGCAATTGGTGAAACTAACGAGAAGCCCTCCCTTCCCAGGCATCCATCAGCCCAATGTCGGTTTCACGGCTGCTAAGGGCTGCAAGGGACCTTGCAGATCATCCGCTCCTTCCTGCCCCCCGGCACCGGGCAGGAAAGACACCTGGGGTCAAATGACCCCAGCGAGGTGGGCGTCAAGAGAGGGGGGGGTTTAAAGATCCCTGGGGCAAGAGACTGCCCGCTCCAAACCCTCCCCGCTCGGCTTGTCACGAAGCATTTCCTAATTCCTAGCCTGAAGCGATCTTCAGTCGGGTTGCGCCTGTTATTTCTTGTCCTCCCCTTGGTGAATCCCAATCCCCGACGTGCACCCTGGTGTACTTATAGGCTGCCACCAAGTCAGTGTCGTCCCCGTCCGTGTGTGTCATCGTCCGCGCCCCCCCTCGAGCCTTGTCTTCTCCAGGCCGAACAGTCCCAAGTCCCTCAGCCTCTCCTCATATGTCTTGGTCTCCTCCAGACCTCTGGTTTTAAGGCTCCTATTAGAGGCATAACCTCTGGGAGATCAAGTAAGGAGCCTCACTAAGGGGTGTTCCTGTAATTAATGGGCACTATTTGCATTGAGATGGGGCAGGTGCGTACTCAGGGCAGTACGTAGCCTTTCTTCGGCCCCGAGTCTGTGTATTTAAGCATGGTGCACTGGATGCGAAGATGAGATGGGGCAGGTGCGTACTCGGGGCAGTACGTAACCTTTCTTTGGCCCCGAGTCTGTGTATTTAAGCGCGGGACACTGGATGCGAAGAGTCACAGAGCTGTCAGCAGTCACGTAGCTGTTGTATAAGCTGAGCTGTTCTAGTTTCCTCTCGCCGCGTTAGGTTTGCTGTTATAATCGCTCCAGTAGGATCAAGCGCTTTCCCGCCTCTGTCCTAGACAGGTTTCCCTTGCTTTATGCAAGTTCTGTACGTGCAAATTCGCTGTTGTGCAATGACCCTTTTATACCAAAAATTTGTTATATGCGAGGTATAGTCACGCTTGTGTGATCGGTGTGATGGAAGCCCGCAGTCAGCTGCTTTGTGCGGTGCATTGTGAGAGCAACGAGCTCCAAAATGTGGTCTCCTGTGTGGATCTGTGCTCCTCGCTTGTTGTCCGTAACATGTGTCTGTAGTTGCCATTCCCATTATGGTAACATTCACCACCACCATGTGCTCACGTATTGTCTGCTGCTGGTGAGTATCAAACTTGTCTTGTAAAAGTGGTAGAAACGGGTCTGGGGGTCAGTACAGTCGAGGTCTTGGAAAATATCCCTATTAGTTACTCTGTCAAGTGTGTTCCCTTTATGCGGATTTGAGTTCTGCGCCATTTTCCAGGAATGCATGTACAGTATAAAGCTAGGGGTGGGCAATTATTTCGTGTGGAGGGCTGCTTACTGAGTTTTGGCAAGGCATTGAAGGCTGCATGACAGGCAGGCAGGGGCAGATAAATATTAACTTTCTAAATTTTTAGGGACCCTGCGGGCCAGATAGAATGGCCTGGCAGGCCGCATCCAGCCCGTGGGCTGCATTTTGCCCACCCCTGGTATAAAGCAAGGGAAACCTGTACAGCCAGTGAGGTTCCAATTGATAGTTCAGTTTTTCCTCACTAGTATCCAAGTGCACAGCGTTGCCTTTTGTGCTATTTCTGTTATTTGAGCTCATGCCATTCTTTCCGTATTTTATCTTGATCTCACCTTAATTGACAGTGTCCCCATCTCCCTGTCACTACCACACTGCTGTTTTTTATGCCGGTGAAAATATTATACAAAACCAGTCCCAAGACCAGTGCTTGAGAAACCTGCTGCCACCAAGTTGTTTCCCTGTTTAAGAAGCTCCTTTATTGTTTTACTGCAGTTTGGATAAGTGAGTTCTTCTGCAATTCCTTTAGTGAAAGAATTGAGTGTCAGATTAGTCTGGCACAAACTACTTTGAGTTAAATACCTGTCTCCCTATATCCTTTTCTTCAACATCTCTTCTAGAGCTCCTTGATGCTGTTGAGGTCAGATTTGTTGGCTTGCAGTTGTCTGAATCATGATTTCCTCCTCCTCAGATATAGGCACTATATTCACTATTTTCCAATCATACGGTACTGCCTGTGGCTTGCTACATGAATCAAAAATATCTGCTACTGGTCTTGTCATTTCATATACCATTTTTTCCCAGAAGTCTGGGATGGAGGTTGTCTAGTTCCCTCAACTTGAATGCATTAAGCCCCTTGAGTTGTGCTTCTGCTTTGGTTGTTCATTTTCATTTTCGGACCCTCATTCCCATTGTTCACCTTGGTTTTGCCTCTGCTGTCAGCATCTCTGTCATTAGACTAATTGATGTGGATTTGTGTTTTGCCACTGTCCTATATTTATTTAGAAGGCGAGGGGAAAAATTTCCTCATAAGGCAAAGCTAATATCTAAGGCCAGTCTCTTTTTACCAGAAAGCTGGATATGTCTCGTTCTGAACGCATGGGACAGCTGCCATTGGGAATACTTCCTGGAATTATTAGTTTAATGCATGACTGCTTTCTAAATAGCTTATTTTTGTAGCCTAAAACATTAGGCATGAATACTGGAGCACTGTTCCTAGTTCCAAAAAAATGTCACTCACCACAATTGCATATTAGGAAGCAAAAACCAAACTTTACATATTAGGAAGATGATAAAATAAGTTGCTGCATTTAGCTGGTCATAATAAAGTGAATGCCACAAATCACAGGCAGTCTGTCTGTATGTGCATATGCAGTAACCCACCAAAAACTTGTGTATATATTTATGCCATTCAAGAACCTTCTTGGCATGTTGTGCTGTGGATGGTTGGCCTTTCTCTTGCGGTTCTTACCTTCTTAGTATGCACAATCCTTGTTACATCAGGAATATGCCCACAACAGAAATACTAAGAACTGAATGGCTGCATTTGATCTCTTGTATTTCTATGAATAATGAAAACGTTGGCTTGACTTTCTCACTTAGACCGGTGGTTCATTAACCTCTTTATTGTAAAGAGCACAGTTCTCAGCAGGCTTGACCCTGTGAAGTATTGAATGCCCTCCAAAACCACTGAAATTGGTGTTCAGGGGCCCTTGGAGCATTGCAGGTTTTGGCCTCATAGTTCATACTGTGTTGCTGCTTGGCCCCCCCAGACATGAGAACCTTTTATGGGGGAGGGGGAAATATAAGTTAGCTTGTACAAAAATATTTTAAAACAGGCTGATCTGTTACAAGGCCGATCAGTAGTCTTTGTTTAAAATACAGCAGTAAAATGTGGTATAATTACATTATTAAAAAAAAAATGCAACATTTTCTAAAGGTTGTGTCACATATTACATGCAAGTATCACAGTGATGAGCATGGTGTCCTGCAGTTAAAATAAGTACAGAACACAATCATTACATTTTGGAATAGCTTTCCAGAATAAACTTGGGTTACTTGTTATCCTAGAAGCTGCTGCTTTTCATAGTTTAGCTCATGCATTGACAGATTCATGCAGTTTCCCTAGTAGCCAGCTTGTTCAGGAGTCTGGTTTCAGCCTTCTGATTTAAATGTGCACAATTAAATTTGAATTACACTGTTAATGAGTTAATGACTTGAACAGGGCACTACCAGCTTGGGTGCCTACAATGAAAGGAGGGGGGTCAGAAAGGGTGCCTGCGGCAGGGTCAAATAGAACAGACTGAACAGAAGGTTAAGTTAAGAAAACTTTTTGGGTACATCGCCTTGAGGTGGAAGCTGGTTTTTATGACAGCAACACAGAAGGGGTCTCTTCCCAAAATGTTAAAGCCAATAGGAGCAGAATTGTATCTAGAAAGTACAATAAGGCCTTGCTTATGCCTAGGATCTCTGGGCATTAATAGCAATCAGGACTTTTGTATTCTAGCAAAGTGACATCTGATAGCGACCCATGGATTACACCTCGATGGTGTTACCAACTCCTGAAAGGAGGAATTGCACAGAGTCACTAGATACGTTGCTCAGGAGGTTTTGTAAAACCACAAACATGTCAGTAGACAAGTTAAAATATTATGTGTAGTTAAATTAATATAGGATCCCTACCAAGCATTTTATCACTATGGTTGTTGTGGTAAGGAATATTCAACATCATTGAAGCATTAGTGCCCAATGAACATTACAAAACTTGGCTTTTTATTGTGCTTCATTATTTGCAGAACAGTCAGTCCAGCTCATTAAAAATGAAGCTATTAGTGTGGCCCAGTAGGATGTAAATGCTATTAATTTGTCTCAAGTGCTGCCTTCTACTTTTAAATGCCATTTCTTTCTTTAGTAACAATTTGACTTTCAAATAATTAAAACAAAAAAATATCTCTCAGCTTCAATCAGAAGCGCACTGAATTTCTTTCCCCTGAACTGATCCAGGTCCTTTATCTTTATCCTCATGTTCTTGTTGGGTCTAGAATATCTCTCAATGTGCCTTGGACAACAGAGCAACAGCAGGAGTTCAGAGGAGCTGCCGAATTGTTGGACATGCTGTTATGCTCACATTGTTCTTGCTTGTTCTCCTTAAAATTCATCGTCTTAAAACCGCTGCTGTTGCTTTACAGTGCAGCACAAAGAGGTGGAGAACCAACATGTGCAACTGAATCTGACCACACAAGTCTGCTTTCAAAAGAGCACCTCTAGATTCCTGAGCTCTGGGTCCATAGGGAAGCAGACCTTCCTTAATTACAAGAGCGAGTTGTGCGTGGAGCTTCCAAACTGAAAACAAAAAAAGACCAAATGCTAACCTAGGTCCACACAGATCCCATTAATGTCACAGGATTCGTTTTTATCTGAAAGGGATTTATAACTTGAGAGTCAAACGCTGACAAGTGTTAGAAAAGGGGAATCTTTCAAAATCAGTGGTATTCTTTCACTGAATGTCTTGAAGGCATTGGACTTTAACTGACTTCCTGTCTGTCGAAAAGCAAAAGAAAGTAGTTTTGACTTCAAAGCTTCCTCCAGTCAAGAGGGAACGTGGTGTGGTTTATTCTGTTTCAGGCATGTTTCCTAACATGGCAGTAAAACATGATTCAAAATAGAGAAAAGAGGAAATGACGGCATAATTTTGTTGACTGCACAGATTATTAGTAGGGAACTGGGTCCCTCTTCTCTCCTCCCCATAGTTCAAAATTACACAATTGTACAGCTCTGTTAAGAGTGCAGTGTGTTTTGATAGTAGAGTCAAGAAGCTTCACCAGGATCCTTGCTGTTTTCCACTTTTTGTCCTTTTAATGGTTGGAGCGTGTCCCTTTCTTCATGCTGATATTTCTCTCTCTTACCCTTTGATTTCTTGGACAGCTGATCAGCGAGCGGATTGTTTGCTGGCTTTGTTTCTCTGTATGCTGTACCTGAACATGGTCGTGGCATGCACCAGCGGGTGAAAAATGTCTGAATGAAAGAGTGCTTTGAGCAATCTTTATAAATCCCTCTCTTCTTCCACAGCAGCTGTGTTTTGAGCAAGGTGAAGTCATTGATACAGTCAGACAGAAGAGGGCACAAAGTATTGGAGGGGAAAGGAGACATTCAGAGGAAGGTTATTCTTGCAGTAAAAACACTGGATTGGGTCTTCAGACTTGCACAATAGTGTCGAGATTGTAGTTGAGGCCTTGAGATGCTGTTGAAATATAAATGACTGAACTTTCCTAGTGCGGTGGGGCAATCCTGCCCTCCCGCCCGCCAGAATGCAACAGGTTTTATTTTTAACTTGTGTGAGTATGGGCTTTGCCGAGAAGTTTAGAGATTGGTCCAGCAGCCTCCCAGCTCTGCTGAAGTGAGGCATTCCTGGGTTTGAACTGAAGTATCCTGAGTTTTTTGCTTGAAGTGTTCAGGCATTCAGTCCACGGTCGCATTCATTTGTGTCTAGTAAGTGGGGAGAGTATAAACTGCCCAGAGAGCCAGAGAGAGAGAAATCTTTGTTTTGATATTGCATCTAGATGGCTCGTTGGGGCTGATAGTATGGCATATATAGTTTTTAAAATCTTTTCGAAATCTCTTTACTAGGTCAGTACTGAATGACAATAACTGCCATCTGATGGCCGGAGTAAAATGAGTTCTGGTATCTAGTAGACAGGATAGCCACATCACACAGTATCACCACAATTGGCACAGCCTTAATAGTCACGGGATAACTAAAGGGCTGGATCAGCCGTGGAAACGAGCCCTTCTCAGCCCTAGAGAGTTCTGCTCATACTTGCATTCAGGCACATCGGTGGGTTAGTGTGCGTGGTTTGCCCTGATGCGGCCACTACTGCGTCTTTTCTGTGGACGGGGCATTTTCATTTTCCTTACCTGTCAAGCCTCATCAAGGAAAAGCACATCTCTCACGTAAAAGTTGTAATGTGCAAGGGTGTATTTTGGCTTTATTTTTACTCTCCCATTTGAAGTGATTCCAGGCATTCACTTTTTCCTCACTGTGGTGTGGACGTAGGTGGGAAATGTAGCAAAATCATAACGGGACCTTTGAGGTTGCACATCTCTGCCACTGGGACAGGTTATTGTAGATGTGCTTTTTTCCCCCGCAATTTTTTTTTTATAAATTATCAAACATCCCTTTTCCTCTCCTCACTTCACAAGTTAGGTTTTCTGTTGCCACCATTATGCAACTGCTTGTTTTGAACCTTCCAGGCTGCAGAATTGCATAAGCTGTAGTCGCCTCTGTTCTTTGATAGAGAAAGAATGCAAGCGCTTCCAGTCTTGGCAAACCCTGTCTGGCATTAACAAAACAAGCAGTACAAACTTCACAGGCTGCTGAGATGGGAGCGACCTTCTGCTGGAGAATTATAGATGGGGACCTTGAGAGAGATGGGAAAAGGCGCCCGACTGGGAGGCACAGGGCAAGACGTTTGTCACTTTCTCGTCTTCAGTCTGTTGCATGGTTTTCTGATCTCCCTGCTTGTGGGGAAGTCAGCATTTGATGATGCCTGCAGTGGGTTTCAGGGAAGAGGAGAGATGCTGCACCATTTGGAAAAAAATAAAAATTTACCCCAGATATCTTAGGTGAAATGTATATTTGGGATTAAATACCCCTCGTCTTACCCGTTTTTATCTTGCCTATGTTCTTAAGCGCTTCACATTTTCAAAGGATTGTATGAAGGCACTCTGTCACTGTGGAACTGATTTCCATTCCTGTTATGTTCTCTAATTACAGCGAATCTGAAATCCTGCACCACGACAAGCAATACGAGCCCTTCTACTCCTCCTTCGTTGCACTCTCCACACATTACATCACGACTGTGTGTGGCCTAAGTAAGTGCTCAATATGCTTTGTCTCCTGTCTTGTCTAAGGATTGAAATATAGTATACAGTGTTGCCATCCTTTGGGTGTTTCTTCAAGTCCTCTTTCTGAACTCTGACCAGTTGATTTTTTTTTTTTTTTTCCTCCAGTTCATTGGCTGAGGTTGGAGAAAAATCATTTTGCATCGCATGAAATGTTTCACTACCTTTTGGGATTTTTTAAAACCTTTTAAATTAAAAGTTGTAGTAAAATTAATCTTGGTGCCGTTCTGAAAATTAGAACTATTTGGTGGTTTTGGAGTGATGTTGTAGCCATGAAAGTCCAGGAAATATGCAAGAGGCAAGAATAACTATGGGTGATACCTTTTATTGGACCAACTGCATGGTTGGGATAGACTTGGACAAACCTTTGAATATGGTGCATGCCTCTTCAGGTCTCACTGCACTCAGAAGCTTGTCCAAGTCTATCCCAATCACACAGCTGGTCCAATAAACAATATCACCTGCAAAAATCTGTAAAACTATTTGACTTTTTCAGAATCTTTTTAGCTTCTTTCTTTCTTTCTTTTGGATGAAACAACTTAATAAATTCAACAAAAATTTACCCATCGTTTGTCAGCCGGATTTGAATTTTTTTTTTTGGTAGCTCTAGTGTCAGTGAAATTTAATACACAGCTAGTGGTGAACTCTTTACTCTAAAGCTTTTCTCATTATTATTGAGTGAAGCTTTTTGGGTCAGTATAATACAAAACAGAAGCTGCTGTTACAGCATCCCTCATATCTATCATTTGTAGTATTTACAGCTGGATTGATGGGTGTTGTCCTTGTTTGACAGATGTTTCTTGTATATTATTATCTAATAAGAAATAAACTAAACTTAATCCTTTTATTTTAGGATAATGTTACTTTGCAAGTGGTTTTGTTGAAGTTATTTGGTTTAATTGTGGAATGAGGCCTTATTCAAAAGTAGCTGTATCAGACTCGGAGCAAGGAGAGAGATAATGTATATCTGTCTCCATTGCATAATGTTTTTGTCAGTAACTTTAAGAATTCGTTATCCTGTATTTTGAGATGTCACAGTTGATTGATACAGGATTCTTATTTTCTCAGTACCCAGGAACCAACTGCAGTCAGTGGCAGCTGCTTGTAAAGTCCTGATTGAATTCTCACTACTGCGACTTGAAAACCCAGATGAGGCATGTGCTGTTTCACAGGTGAGTAGAAGGCTGGATTTTATGAGTGGAAGCTGAGTGGTATCAGCACAGAAAGGATGCTCAGTCCTTTGCTTCTAGGGGCTTGCTGTCATGAAATTCTGGGAACTCTTGTACAAGGCAAAATTATTCTGTAAACATTTAATAGCTTTGAGTAAAGTCTGTAATATCCTGTGTATCCCTTGTGGTTTCCTGCTTGCTGGCATTATGATGAGCAGTGTGATTAAGTAGGCTTCAAGGAGCTCAGCTGACCTGCTTGCATTGAGATTACCTGTACTAAAGCAAAGAAGAGGAAACAGTGATTTGAGCGATGCCCCTAAATTACCAACTTGACTGTTCTTGTGCAAGAAACAATCTTCAACTGTGCATTCATATCCTAGGGAGAGTTTGACTTGGCCCATTTTCTCTATGGGAGTTTTGACAGTTAATGAAAATATTTATGTGCAAGTTAGTTGCTAAATTTGAAGGACATGGTCAGGTGTTTCCTCTGAGCCTGTGTGCATTGTAGGGAAGGGTGTTATTCAGTAGCAAGCAGAAGGGACAGTTTCAGTGACCCGAATTATCCATCGTTCATTCCCCTTCATACTCTTAGATTGGCTCTTTTGAGAGCTTGTGAAGATGAAGGAATTGCAAGCTGAAGCATTTGGATTTAATTTGATGTTTCTCATTTTTCTAGAAACACCTGATTCTGCTAATCAAGGGGCTTTGCACTGGCTGTAGCCGCCTGGACAGAACTGAAATCATAACTTTCACAGCAATGATGAAATCAGCCAAGCTGCCTCAGACTGTTAAAACCCTCTCTGATGGTAGGTACCTCATTCGAAGCCTAGTCAACACTTGCTTCCAAGCAACACTTCCCTGGTGTATGTGAAGCATTGTGTTCTTCCTGCCCTTGACCTATGGAATTGACCCTCGACTTCTGTCCATGCAGTGGAGGATCAGAAGGAGCTGGCTTCCCCAGTGAGCCCTGAACTGCGACAGAAGGAGGTGCAGATGAACTTCCTGAATCAGTTGACATCGGTGTTTAACCCTAGAGTGACAGCATCACCATCTCTTGCTCCAGAGACCCAGGTGAAGAGTCAGCCTTTGTATGAAAGTGTTGTGGTTCTGATGCCACAAATGTGGGTACAGAGAACCTCAGATAATGCTTTTCTACATTGGTTAAATTCCTGTGCTTGCTGGATTGCGGGGGGAAAGTACAGTACGTGTGGTGGTGGTTGACTTAGCTCACCTTATGGAAAGTTAACATCTTCATAGATCGCATATGGCTTTTCTGTGTAAGATGAGCTTCAGTTCCATTAAGACATGTCCTGTAGTATTCTATATTTTAGATGCCAATTGCCTTGTATCTCTATGTCTGCTTGTCTGTCAGGTGGAAGGAGAAAGTGAGGATCAAACATCTACTGACCAAGCTTCTGCAGCAAAGACAAAAAGTATCTTCATTGCCCAGAATGTAGCCAGTCTGCAAGAGCTAGGTAAGAATGAGCTTTCAGTTTAAAAAACAAAAATGTGCCCTTGAAAGGTGCTGGGCCAGCAGCCTTGGAGCCACTTCGTAGTACAAACCTATTCCACTTCCAGTTCTAGGTCTCTGTGCTGAGGCAGCCAGCAGAGGTGACAGCTGTGTTGTGGACCCTTGTTCATTGTGAACAGGAAGGAGTCAAGGATTCACTTTAATGCACAGAACTTTGGCATATTCATTTTGTGGGGGACAGTGTAAAATGGTCTGGGGAATAACACTGACTGGGCTTGGGTGGGGGAAGGCTTAAGGGAGGGGAATAGGAGCCTTTGCTCTCACATAAAATGGACTCAAGATCTTCCACCTGGCTGGGTGAACACCCATTAAAGGTTGAGGGTTTGGTTTGTGGTGTGTCTAAACAAGGTTTACGTCTTTTTCTTCCTGTGGTTTTCAACCTTTTTATCTTCAAGGCATCCCACTTCCTTCCCCTCCAATAACGTTTATCTGAATTTTGCGGCACCCCAGCTAAGAATCACTGGGCTGGAATCTCAATTCCGGAAAGATAAGGAGGGGTGCTTCGAGGCCAGAAAGTTTGAGAACCACTGATCTAGTTGGTGCCAGGTGCGGGTGTTGGGAGCACAACCTAACCTTGATGTGCCCTGCTCTTTCCACTGTTCTACCCCTCTGTCTACCCGAGAGGACAAGGGCAGCCCCCACTGTTAAGCCTGCTCCTGCAGGGTCTCACATGATGGTGACTGCTCTCTGGTGCCTCCCACTGGCCCCAGGAGCATGGGAGGAGTGGAGGGGAAAAGCTGGGTTACAAAGTGTGGCTCTGGTTCCGCATCCATCTGTTTGCCACCATGTAGGTGGGACACATTGTTGGGAGCATCAGGGCTGCCGGAAGGGTAGCAGATGTGGCAGTCCTTAGCTCAGTGGCACCTGTAGCTGCTGCTCTATCCAGGGCAGGCTCAGGGCACTGGAGAGGCGGAGGAGAGCATTTGCCTTCTCACTCAAGCTGGGGGCATGGAGCCCTCACTGAGAATCAATGCTCTATTCCATTAGGGACATCGCTGTGACTTATGTCTGTTTCCTCGCAACAAAACTGCCTGGAGTGTGTTACTAGAGACAGTGCCACAGGAAAAGCGTGGGCAAAACATTGAATTCCCATGGGCTTAAGCTAATGGCTTAGCCACTCTGCACTGTTGATTGCAGTCTCAAATCTAGCCTATGAAATGATGCAGGTAAAATGCTTTTCCCTTGTCCTTGCTTTTGTTCTGCTAGGTGGCTCTGAAAAGCTGCTGAGGGTGTGCCTGAACCTCCCTTACTTTTTGCGCTACATAAATCGATTTCAGGATGCCGTGTCAGCCAACTCCTTTTTCATTATGCCAGCCACTGTAGCAGATGCCACGGCAGTTCGCAATGGGTAAGATGCTTCAGTCTCTTCTTCTGTTCACAGTGGGAGCACTGCCTGAACACACATGACACAGTATGGGCCACTGTGTCTCCCTTATCCATTGTTTGATGCCAGAAAGTCCTTTCTAGAGCACGCTGTGCAGTTCCTAAGCCTAACTTCAATGCTTGTTGTAGGTTTCACTCGCTGGTGATAGATGTGACGATGGCACTGGACACTCTGTCTCTTCCTGTATTGGAGCCTCTCACTCCCACACGGCTGCAGGATGTGACTGTTCTGGCCCTTAGCTGTCTCTATGCAGGTGAATGAATATCCTTTGGAAGGACTGGGCTTCTGGAAAGCTGAATTCTCTTGCCTTTCTCCACTGTCATTGGAGCCCTCTGTAGCTCTGCATCTTCTGTGCCTTATAACCTGCACCCTTAAGGCCCAGACCATGACCTCTGTCCTCTGTGCTGATGGAGGACTGGACAGGACACCCTTTGAATGATGACAGTACTGGTTTTTTGAATGGATGGAGTTATCAAGCCATGCTTTCTCCCCAAGGGTTTGAATATGCTCTCTGAATACAACGTTCCCCGGCAATACAGCTAATTGTTAAATGACATTTATGTTCTTTAAGTGTGAAGGCTGAGTCCTCAAATACACAAGTACATGAGTAGAGTTGGCAGTCCAGACCTTCAGAGGTACAAACCCAATAGATTGCTCCATGTGGCTGTCTTCTGCTGTGGTTCATTATTCCAAAATCTATAGTTTTAGATCTGCTGACGACCTCCAGAATTCAACCCTGTTTCTCAAGAGTGGCATTAGCACCCCAAAATTGTAGTAATGTAATCAATTAGGGACAGATTGTTAACAGTGATTAAGTGCCCACATTCCACTGATTTCAAAGGGAGCTGGGCACATAAATGCCTTTATTACTCTAAATGGCAAACTTCTGAAGTATTTTGCTCCATTAGGAAATGGAGTATTTTGTATCTTGCTCCTTCCAAGGGAGGTGGTGCTGGCCCCTACCCTGGGGATCTTTAAGAAGAGGCTGGATACTTACCTGGCTGGACTCATTTGAGTCCCGTTTTTGTTTTTAGGGTTTGTTGTGTTTTTTTTGGGGTTGTTCTCCCGCCCTGGCAGGGGGTCGGGCTAGAAGATCTATTAGGTCCCTTCCGACCCTGAAACTATGAAACTATGAATATCCACTGCTCATTTTATGAATCAGATTGTATGAAATTTTCTTTTTGGGGGGGGTTGAAATTTTTTTTCTCTCGTTAAATTGACAGAATGACTATTTCTGTCCTAGTCAAATCCACATGTACTTTTTACCCCCCTTGACTCTGTGCATGTGTGTGCGTGATATTCAATATAGAGTTCCAAGGCTGGCTCTTAAATGTACCATGTTCCTTTTGCTCTCTCCTTTGTTCAGGTGTGAGTGTGGCAACATGCATGGCCATCCTACATGTTGGCAGCACACAGCAAGTACGAACTGGGTCCACTAGTTCTAAGGAAGAAGATTATGAAAATGATGCTGCCACTATTGTACAGAAATGTGTAAGTAGATGACATGGAGGGAAACTGTTTGAGGGAGAACAGTCTTGTGTTCACTTGTTTCTGTCAAGGAAGCAAGGGATCAGCTGGAAATGCATAGTCTGGGGCTTGCACAGAAGAACTCTTTTTGCTTATTGGATATTTTATTTATCTGGGTCACTTTCTGCTCCCCTTGTTTCCTTCTGATACAAAAGAAAGGTTGATACTGATGTAAGCTCTGTAACGTCTTAGAGCTTGCATTAGGGTGGGCAATTGTTGAGGGGGCAGAAGAAGCTTGAGAGGGGAGTGTGAGTAGTGTACAGAATGGTTTAGCGACACCCTGTCAGATAACATCATGGTTACAAAGAGTGCTGGGTTTTCTTTCAGCTTGAAATCTATGAAATGATTGGGCAGGCCATCAGCAACTCACGCCGTGCAGGGGGGGAGGTAAGAATGGATCTCCTTGTGAAACTTTCTCACTTTACAACCTTGGTGGGTGGTGTGTTTGTTCAGTTGGATTCACACAACTGTCCATTTTTTGTTTTGCTTTTGGTTCAATAGCATTACCAGAATTTCCAGCTGCTTGGTGCTTGGTGTTTGCTAAACAGCCTCTTCCTCATCTTGAACCTCAGTCCTACAGCCTTAGCCGATAAAGGAAAGGAGAAAGACCCATTGGCTGCTCTTCGTGTCAGAGACATCATTGCTCGAACAAAAGAGGGAGTTGGGTCTCCCAAACTAGGCCCTGGGAAAGGGTATGTGATTACCCCACTGAGTCGACCAGTTTCTGTGCATCACTGTGGTTATTGCTTTGGTGTGAAATCTCTGCAGCTCTGGAATCTGGCTGGTTTCGTGAAGACACTTGTTCTTTTCATGTTTTGGTCCATTCACTTTCCTTTATCCAATTTTCTGCCTTTTCAGTTTAACAAAGCAATTTCTCAGTCATCTTACTCAACTTAATCTTTTTTCACCAATTACATGTCAGCCAGCACTTAGATTCTTCTAAGCGGTTTTTTAATCTACAAAACAATCTGAAGGTTCCACTTGAGGCTTAGCCTGACTGCTTTCTGTTCTCAAGGGGGAGTTGCTTGTTCTGGGCTGGGTGAAGGCACAGTTGGGTGAGCAAAAAAAGGCTGCTGTTCTTTATTGGGGGTGTTGGCATCACTTCCTTTCTGGATAAAGAGTAGATGCAGTTTTGGGATGATACTAGCAGTAAGGGTTCAAGCTTGTCATCTGGTGGAGGAGCATTCTCAAACAAAAACTAATTACCTGGTCCTCCTTATAATACAGTTTTGAAGTGTACCTGATCAGTTTGGCTGTTATTGTGGGCAAGATGCAGCTATAACTTGGAGGCATTGAGCTGTGTACCTTATATACTGGAAGTTCAGAATATATGCTCTCGCTGAATTAAAACCTTCAGAGGTGACTAAGTGATGGAAAGTCATGAGATTGAGTAGTGATTCTTTGGCATAATTTCTTTAGAACAAGCAGTATTGGAGATCTTAAGCCATCATCTTTAATTTTTCTCTAGGCATCAAGGGTTTGGTGTTCTGTCAGTGGTGCTAGCAAACCATGCTATCAAACTCCTAACATCGCTCTTCCAGGATCTGCAAGTGGAGGCACTACACAAGGTGTGTAGATGGCACGTTGATTCCCTTAATCAGTTTGTCTTCTCTGCTGGAATATGCTTTTAACCTTCCTTTGATACTGCCCTCCAGGGGTGGGAAACCGACGGGCCCCCAGCAGTGCTGAATATCATGGCTCAGAGCACATCAATTCAAAGAATTCAGCGGTTGATCGATTCTGTGCCTCTCACTAATTTGCTGCTGACTTTGCTGTCCACTTCTTACAGAAAGGTAGGAGACAACTTTGATAAAGGAGCGCTGTAACAGTCTTTCTCTCAGTTAAATAATGAGACCTGTATGGAAAGCTCCTCTTGCAAGTATCTACTAACAACCTAAACAGAAGATTTTAGAATTTGCTCTTGCATGATCCCAGTAAGCTGAATAGTAGTCATGACCAATGACTCACTGGACTGTATGCAGAATGGGAGCTTTTATGTTCACACTGTAATATGAAACTAAGCTTACAGTTTCTAGCTCTGCTTGCCATCGCAGATGATGATAGGCAATATTTAGAAAACAATATTTGAAGAGAAATGTTGGCATAGCAATTTGAGCAGATTTTCATGGCGGGCAATAAAAGAAGAGCTTTGGGAACTGTCTATTGTGCCTGGTAAGAGTTTAACCCTTCTTGCTGTTGTTTTAAGGCTTGTGTCTTGCAGCGTCAGAGGAAGGGTTCCATGAGCAGTGATGCAAGCGCCTCCACTGATTCTAATACATATTACGAGGATGACTTCAGCAGCACTGAGGAGGACAGCAGCCAGGGTAATAGTTTGCAACAAGCAACTTAACCCAAGATCTCACACTTTTCTTTAAAGTAGCAGAGGCTTGCGCACTAGGCTCCTGCCTGCCTAGACTGGAGTTAGATTTTAGCAGATGAGATTTAAAATGGTTTATTAGGTTCAACGGGCAGAGAAGTACCAGCTATGCTCAGTCTATTGCAGTCAGCATCCTAGTGATACAGGAGCTTTATATCTGTTTAAAACGTTATTTAGGCAAATGCCAAGGACTCTCTCTTCCCTTGACTGGGAAGTTGCTTTTGGAGCCAGGCTTGTTTCACTGTTGGTTTGTGACTGCAAAGAAAATGTCACGTTCTAGGCTTGCTAATATATTCCTTTGTACGTTTGCTGGGCTTTTCTTTAGTAAAGCAGCTTGTAGAAGGGAAGCTGCTTTAAGCCTAAATGGTGGTTTTCTACATCTTTTTTTTTTTTTATTAGATGATGACAGTGAACCCATCCTCGGCCAGTGGTTTGAAGAGACAATTTCTCCAAGAAAAGGGAAAGTGGCCCCTCCTCCACCCCCTCCACCACCCCCCCTGGAGAGTTCACCTAGAGTGAAAAGCCCCAACAAACAGACGACTGGGGAGAATGGGAACATTCTGGCCAGCCGCAAAGACCCAGAACTGGTACAGAACGGTCTTCAAGACTCATTGTATCCTGAGTGAGATATAATGTGATTCTCAACCGGGAGAGGCTTGTCAATTTGGCACTTAGCAACTTCATTGTTTAAATGTTGTGCAGTTTAGTATGTTGACAATGAAGTATCACCATCTAGAAAGGAGTGGAAGGCTGGGGGTCTGAATGACAAGGATATTGGTTTCCTGGGAACTTTGTGCTACTCTTCAGTCAGCAGATATGTCTTAAGTAATCGTTATTGCCAGGGAAGAGCAGATATAAAATAATCCGCCATCAATTTAGGTTGCAGCAGGTGAAGTGAAATAGCTTGCCTGATAACGCCGTTAACAGTTCCTTTATTTAACAGTGAAAACGAATGCTGCTGTTGAGAAGCTAATGAACAGTTGTCTGTGAAAGAGACTTAATGTGGAACAGAGTTGTTGTGCGGCAAGCTGGATTGTAAAAAGAAAAGAAACCAAAACTTGTGCTGATGGAGGCAGGGTTTAGCTGGGTGATGAGAAATCGAAGAGATTTAGCAATGGCTTTTCTTTGTTCAATGTTTCCTCAACCACTATTGGTCTTGATTCTAAGATGCGTATCTTCTTTTCCTCCTTTTCAGTTTCTAAGCCTAGCTTCCAATATTCTGAACTTCATCACCTCCTCCATGCTGAACTCCAGGAACAATTTCATTCGCAACTACTTAAGTGTGTCTCTTTCCGAGCAGCACATGGCCACACTGGCTAGCATTATCAAGGAAGTGGACAAAGATGGGCTGAAGGGTGAGTGCACAAGAACCTCTTTTGGATTTCTAGTCCTGCAGGTAGAGCTGTAATAATAATCAGCTTGATCTTGACTGTGTTGCAGGCACATCAGATGAAGAATTTGCTGCTGCATTGTATCACTTCAACCATTCCTTGGTGACCTCAGACCTTCAGTCCCCTACCTTGCAGGTCAGTCTGCAAAAAATCTGCGTGTTGGATGTAAAACCGAATTGCTTGGCTTTCCGTGGATGACCATATGTTTGTGTGAGGACACTGGTGCTTCTTACTCTGCTGGAGAACTCTTCCTTGTGGCCCAAAATATTTTATTCTGCGAATAAAGGAATGGAGCACGGTGGGGCTGGGAAATAAGATCCTCCTTGAGAAGATACTTCGCTGCAAAGTATTCCACAGGATAGGAAACAATGGCAGACTTGTCATTTAATACTTATTTGTATCTTACACTAATGCTGGAAAGGGTTTAAATCAATGTGTGTAGTAATATGTGGATTCAGGTATTTGGTGCCTCTATGATATTGTTGAAAGGAAACTGTATTTGTGTGGGAGATGCTTGGTAATCTCATCTGTGTGGAAGAAAGTATTTTTCCCCATGATTTTTTTTTTTTTTTTTGGTGGTTTTTTTTTTTTTTTTTGGTGGTTTTTTTTTTTTTTTTTGGTGGTTTTTTTTTTTTTTTTTGGTGGTTTTTTTTTTTTTTTTTGGTGGTTTTTTTTTTTTTTTTTGGTGGTTTTTTTTTTTTTTTTTGGTGGTTTTTTTTTTTTTTTTTGGTGGTTTTTTTTTTTTTTTTTGGTGGTTTTTTTTTTTTTTTTTAGTTGGCCTTTTTTTTCTTGGCTTGCTGATGAAGCATTGGACCTTGGCTATGGCTAGAGGTGGGGATTTTCCTGGGGTGTGTTAGTCTTACCACTAGTTCTTAGAAACATCTTAAACACCTCTCTTGTGATATCAAAGCACCTGTCAGATCTGGGGTTGAAACAGATTTTTTCTACCAGGTCAGATTGGCAGGACTGTCAGATTTTGCAGCACAGAGCATGTTGATCCTCTGATCATGCATTAAACTATGACATTTCCCCTGCCATTGATGTAGCTGAGGCATTGACAATGCCTATCTTGTGGCACACTGTCGGGCTCTTTAACAGGATCCTCTGTGGCTGTGGTATGGATGAGGGAGTTAAAGTGAATGATCTTGTGGACTCCTTTGGACAAGTGAATTCAGGGGACCATACTTGATGCCGTAGAGGTGTGTCTTTCCAGCCTAGTGTTTCTGTAAATTAACTCTCTGAGCTGCGGAGATGTTTAAAGGGGAAAATAAATCATTTTCCATAGTTGGGGTGCCATTAGCTCAAAGAACTGTTTCTGAATATGCTTTTTACCACAAGAATTTCCTTTGTATCTGCTTGGCTTTTTAGGACTGATAACAAATAGATGGATACTTAAACATCTTAATTTGACCCCAGTGCCAAATATTGAAACTCCACAAAGAGAAATACCAGTGCATTAAACTCTGAACCTACCTAGAGCTATCAAATTGAAGCCTTGGATTTAGGCTTTCCTCCCAACTAATATATTTGGGTTTTTTTGCACCAGAATACACTTCTACAGCAGCTGGGAGTGGCCCCTTTCTCGGAAGGACCTTGGCCGTTGTACATCCATCCTCAGAGTCTGTCTGTACTTTCCCGCCTTCTCCTAATCTGGCAGCATAAAGCCAGTGCCCAGGGAGATCCTGATGTCCCAGAATGCCTCAGAGTTTGGGAGAGGTAAGATGACTTTAAGTATTATAACAACAAGCAAGTTTTCTCCTTAGCTGTCTTCCTGTGAGACAGAATTTTCTGTTTGGGCAAGTTAATCCAACGTCGGGTGCTGTTCATGTAAGGTAAGAAAATCCGGGGTTGGGGAGCAGAGGGGGGATAGGAATAGTTTGTGTGTTTGGGATGGTACCTTTCAGAAATTACACAGAAGGGAAAGATGCAGGATCTGGATGAGAATAGGGAATGCAAACACTTATCTATACATCAAGACCTAGATGAACAGAGAATAAAGTAGCTCTGTTAGCACTGATTTGAAAAAGAAAAGGCAAAACTTTTTTTTGCTGGATTCCTGGTGGGTATTGGGTCCTTGTACTAAGCCCATCTTTACAGTAGCTGAACCACCCCTCTCATAGGAGTGAACCATAGATGAACAGCTCATTTTGGTAGAACTCTTCTTACTTCTATTTCTTTCTCTGCTGGCAGGTTTGTGAGCACTTTAAAACAAAATGCCCTGCAGGGGGCACTTCCCAATGACACAGAAGACCTGAATGTTGAGCACCTCCAGCTGCTCTTGCTTATTTTCCACAACTTCTCCGAGAAAGGCCGCAGATCTATCTTGACCCTCTGTATCCAGACCATTCTGGACCTGACTGTAAAGATGGATTCCCAGTTGCAGTCTGTACCGCTAATCCTAGCTCGTCTACTGCTGGTCTTCGACTACCTGCTTCATCAGTATTCCAAAGTTCCCATGTACTTGTTTGAACAGGTAAGCTTCTGAGGAACTATGTTACAGATGTTCAATCAGGTAGTTGCTCAGCAACGGATTATAGCAGGTACTTAATTTGTTGCTTTCTTTTATCTATAGTTACCTCCTTTTTAGTCCTAGTAACTCTCTTGAATTCACTAATGACCTGCAAGGTTGTGACAACAGACATTTGGTTCTAGCAGCAGCTTCGGTAGTGTTGTGGCATGACTGCTGCTACTGCATGTGAATAGATGTTGGATAGCATGAGATGCTGCCACAGTAATGCTCAGAGTAGTAAACCTGCCTTACTTCTGATAGGGGTAGAGGCGTATGGGTGTCTCTTCACTGATTCACAGATACCTTTAATGCAGCGTTCTCCGAGTTTAGCTTGTCTGCATTTCGTTTGTTGGCAGTGTTCTACATTAGGGGGGTAACAACCTTGGACTGTAGCCTTGCTCCAGTGACTGAAGTGTATAAATCCTGTCTCTACCTGAAAGTGTCCTGTTATTTCAAACAGTTTGTTAGTTAGGACTCTTTATATGGGTTTTTTTTAGTTATCAGTGAACCTTTGTTTTCGGTATCTGTTTTTACACAGGTGCAATATAATCTGCTAACCCCACCCATTGGCTGGGTCAGTGGATCCCAGGAGAGTAGTAGACGAACTGCTATCCCTATCTACCATGGATTTAAAGAAGTGGAAGAAAACTGGACCAAACACTGCTCATCAGGTCAGAGGAAGAGCTATGGCAGAATTTTGTGCTCATAAACTTTAGGAATATTACATGAAAAGCTTAAAGTAAACCTATTTTTAACACAGCCTGGGAAAGTGTCACTGGATGTACAGCTTGTCTAAACACCTTTTACAGTTGTGCATGTAATGTACCCTTAGTTTATTTAGCAAAATTCTTTCCTAGCCTTAAATCATGAATGGCTTGGCTTTGGGGAGAAAATGATTAGTGATGATAGGCCCAACAGTATTGCTAATTCTAAATTTAAACAACTTTGGTATTTATGTCTCAGATGCAGTGCCACAGCCCAGGTTCTACTGCATCCTGTCACCCGAAGCTTCTGAAGATGACTTGAACCGCCTAGATAACATGGTACCCAGACTTCCTTTCTTTAAAGACTTCTTCCAGACCTCTAGGTCTTGGGTTCTGTTGACTTTACAACAGCCAAATGGAGAAACGAGAGGGAAGAGAAGTAGATGGAGAATCTGCTTTTCAGTTCCGTTGCATAGAGAGTCAGTGTAGAAAATGACCTGAACTGCAGATATGATGTACCAGAGAGGAAACCTGCTTGAGGGTTACTGTTTTTATTGAGGAGGAACTGTAAACACTAGGTGACTAGGCGATAGCAGTATAAAATAATTAACTAAGGAATTTTAATATTGTTTAAATTTGTGTTCAGGCTCAAATTTTAGATGGGCATCTTAGGTGAAACATCTGAGGCTTCCCAGTCATGATGTTTTGGCAGTTCCTTTGACCATTTGACCACTCTGTGTTGCTTGGAAATAAACAGTGGCTAAAGAACAGGAGACCTCTTCCACTTTACTAACCTGGGATTCCCTCGGACCTATACAAAGAGCCTTTCATGTCCAAGTTAGCTCTTGAGTTTCTTAGCAACTGAGGTGAAAGGGAGCTGGCTTCAGAATTGCCTCCCATCTCTTTGCCCCATGTCCCATCTATTCCACCCCCACCTCCCCGCAGCTGCTGTCCTCGCTCACTAAAACTGGCGTTGTGGCAGCTGACAAAAGAGGGTAGCATGCTGTTGGATGGGGCAGTTTCTCACATACACCAGGGTTCCTGTTGTAAATTTTGCTGCTTTTGGGCACACACACTGAATGCACCTTTTATCACCCTGGGTGGCTACTGGAGCAATTGTCACAAACCTGGCCTGAGGTTGTTTCTTGCTGACACACTGCGGTGTGTTTTGTTTGTGGGGGAGAGGATCTCAAGTGCATATGGATAGGGAGTTGTGCAACTGAGGAAGAAACAATCCTGGTTTGGCTTCTTCCATAGGTTTGTGAGGTCCTGTTTTCTAGGATCGTGAAATATGATGAGCTTTATGCGGCCCTGACTTCACTACTTGCAGCTGGATCGCAGTTTGACACCCTCCGGAGGAAAGAAAACAAAAACGTCACAGCACTGGTAAGGGTGTATGTCAGTGGGGTTATAGCACTGGCCATGATGTCAAGCAGCTCCAGGGGCTGGGTTTTATGAGAGTCTGGGCAATAATTATGGAAGTTGAGAACTGAATTGTTTGCAGTCAGGTTTTTACTTTATAAAAGTTTTAAGCTAATGCTCCCAACAGCAGCAGAATTTCAATACCATCTTCTGGGGAGGGGTTTATTTGAAATCAGAGCAGTCCAATGCAAACCAAAACAGATAAAACAGGTCTTGCTCCTTGGCTGGGCTGCTTCAGCAGTCTTTACCTTAGGAGGGTCTGTTGCTTGCCCCCCACACAGCAGATCATCTGCTTCATTGCTGGGGGAGCACCCTTCCAGGTTGTATGCCCCTGGTCTCCCATCATGGCTTTCTCAATCCCTTACAAGTCTCTCCCAAATTGAATTGCCTTTTGGCCTTTTTATCTGAGGACTAGGTGACCTGCATGCTATTGCCCAATACTTGGTCTCAAACCCATCCCAGGGGAAGCAGCTAAATAAGTCAGAGTTAACGACTTTTTCCTTTAAAAGACCACCCCAATGCTGCAACAGTAACGTGATGCACTCGTGAGCATAACCTATAGTGCAGTGTCTGGTTCAGGTTTTCCTGACTGTTTAGAAGGAATTACTTGCTCTCTAGTTTAATCTCTGCAGCTAGGAAGGCATATATTCCTTTTGTTGTAGTTCTATTAGTGAGGAAGAACCTTGCAGTCAAACAGCAGGCTCTCCAGGATAGTTTTGAAAATTTCCACTCCCCAAGCCAGGTTGGGTGATAAATGATATTAAATGACATTTCTGCTGAAGTTCTCTTGAAACGTATTACATGCTTTTGACTTCAGGCTCATCATACCTTCCAAATGTATGCAGGAGGTTTAGCTAGAAGATGATGGAATGAGCCACCATGAAAGAAAATAAAATTGTTGAGTGAGCTAAGAAAAGTCATGCCACGTTCAGCACAGATAGAAGGGTACTCTAATCTTTGGGACAGTACCTTTACCTACACAGAAACCCAGTGATAGGATTATAGCTGTTCTAGTGCAAATAAAAGCGCCCTTACTGATGTATACATCTCTTGCCTTTATTAGGAGGCCTGTGCACTTCAGTACTACTTCTTGATACTCTGGAGGATCCTGGGGATTTTGCCCCCTTCTAAAAACTACATGAATCAGCTGGCGATGAACACGCCCGATATGAGTGAATGTGATATCCTGCACACGCTGCGCTGGTCCTCCCGCTTGCGTATCATCTCCTATGTTGTTTGGATCAAGGTACAGTCCTTACCCTGGAATTCTCAGTGTAGAGGTTTTGAAGTATTACTAGAATTTAAAACAGCAATACTCATTCCTAAGAATGAAGAAAGAAATGAAATTGCAGTAGTGTGTATTGAATCCTAAAGAGGAGAGAAGTGCAAACTGTCTTGGATAGATTGAGCATTTTTTATCCTCCTGATTGCAGTCAGGAGAATTAAACCACGTTATAATTTTAGTTCCAACTTTAACGTGAGAATATAGTAACAGGTGTTTCCATGATTGACAGTGTGAATCTACTCTCCCAGGTTTATTGAATGTAGGAAGTGTAGTTTTTGCATAGTAATGGGAAATTGGAATTGGTATGTATGTGATTTAAAAACAAATTGCCCTAATATGATAGCTTATGGACTAGTTCATTCCTACAACCCTTTTAAATGCTGTTAAATGTGAAATTTCTCTGCAATTCCTCCAGGATCACTTGATCAAACAAGGCATGAAAGCTGAACATGCTGCTTCTCTCATTAAATTGGCCTCCACTAAGTGCAGCTCAGTGAAATATGATGTGGAAATAGCAGAGGAATACTTTGCTCGACAGGTAAGCCTGTGAAAATGCTAAATATGTATAAGCTAGTATGGAGCGTTGACTTTTATATGATGCCTTGCTCTGAAAAATTGTCATCCTTCTGTTTTTAATAGATTTCCTCTTTCTGTGGGATTGACTGCACCACTATTCTCCAGCTGCATGAGATTCCCAGTTTGCAGTCCATTTACACCCTTGATGCTGCCATTTCCAAGATCCAGGTTTCCCTGGATGAACACTTCTCTAAGCTAGCTGCAGAAACTGACCCGCACAAATCATCAGAGATAACCAAGAACCTGCTGCCTGCTACTCTGCAGCTTATTGACACCTATGCTACATTCACCAGGTATGAGGATAGCACGATCAGAAGGATGAAACTTCCTTTTCTGTCAGTGACTTGTCAGTTTGAGTTATCCATTCCAGTGAAGTTTTAACATAGTCCATTAAATTAAGCATCACTGCTTAATGTAATATATTCTATGGGATGAATGTTTAAAAGAGTGGACTCTCAAGAACTTGTGAATTGTGTTCTTTTGCAAGTTATCGATTTGTTTGATCATTCAAGGCTTTCCGACAAACTTGCAAAACAAACGGCTTTACCTCTGAAGATGAAACCTCTTTGTAGTATCCTGATATTGTAGTCCAAGGTTATATTTCAGTATGCTGTTGTTGAGACCGACAGTGTAGCAGTTGAGGAGATTTAATCCTTCAAGTAAGATTCCAGGGTCTCTCTGTTCCTGTGGAAAAGAAGCTGAGAGTAAATTGACCTTTTTACTCGCTGAGTAGCCATTTCTGTTAGTAAGCAGCTTGAAGATAAAAAAGAAGCAATAGCTAGAATGATACTGCATGATTTATGAGTTAACATTTCAGAGGTTTGGTTCTGAAGTTTGGCTGCTTGTCTGTTGCTGTATTGATGTATTATTTTTGAACAGTCTTCTGAAAGGAATCCTTTCCATCCCCAATACAGATCTTATTTGCTACGGAGCCTCTCTGAAGAAGGCTCAGCTGAGAACAAACCTTCTGAAGAGAAGCTGCGGGGTTATGCTGCTGTCCTGGCTATCGGATCAAGCCGTTGCAAGTCAAATACTCTGGGTGAGTTCCCGTGAAATTCCACTGTGCACTTAAATTTAAGCAAGACTTGTTGCAATGGCATAAACATTCTGCTTCGAGCTGTTGTACTGCCCAATTATCCTCCTTCCCAGCCCTCACCTCTAGGACCTGAATATTGACTCCATGAAGTTCAGTCAGCAACTAAGCACCTAGAGATGTGGAGTCCCTTTCCTTAGTTCAGGACCAGCCTGGGGAAGTCATGAGAGCCATGGCTAGCTTGAAGTTCATCCAGAATTGAACCTTTTTGCAATTATATTAACAGTCTGCTGCCCTAGCACTCTGGCTTTTTAGGCCTTTCCATGTTGTTGTTGTTGTTGAAATCTGCCTGCCTGGATGTATTTTTAACAGGGTTAAGCTGTTGGATTTGGTAATAAGTGAAGCTTTCAGAGTTCTTTATGAGGGATTGCTACTGATTAGCGACTTGATGAAAGTATTTTGACAGCTTAGCATCGTTGAGTTAACGTTTTTTTCCAGTGCAAGCTTTCTTTAGAATGATGTTGACATAACTTAGAAAAGCAGACAACCAGCCTTGCCAGCAGAATGGGACATCAAACAAATCTAGCTATCCCTGTCCTATCCAGATAGACTTGCCTAATTTGGATGATGAAGTTCTTGCTTTTAAGCACTGCCTAACTGAATCTCAGATTCCTGACGATCCCTTTGAAACTCCTTCCAAGAACTCTAATCCCTGTTTTCCTTGCAGGTCCAACACTTGTCCAGAACTTGCCACCAGCAGTACAGACCTTATGCGAATCCTGGAACAACATTCATACTAATGAATTTCCAAACATTGGATCATGGGTGAGTCCAGCTTCAGAGTGGTCCTGAAATAACCCTGACAATGTAACTTTGTGGGAAAAGTGTCTACTTTGGTTTATGTTTAACTTTAATTTCAAAATTACATAGTAAAATCTGATCATCGGGAAATACTTGTTCAGGTTAGGAAGGTTCCACAATCTGCTGTCGCAGGAATGCTCCTGATTTTACATGAATCTGCACAGAATTCAGGTATTCTAACCTCTAACAGAAGTTTGACCAATAGAAATTACAAGTCTGAGCATGTTGTATCTTCATCCTTATCAGAGCAGCCAGGTTGGTCAAATCAAGGCAGAGGACTGTGTAGTGCTGCCTCTTCTGTCTGTGGGCTGTATAGCCCTATAAACAGAGGAGGACCACAGGCAGAACTTCTGGCACTATAGGGCTTGTAGGACAACAGTGGGTTTTTTAATTCCTTAAAGGTGAACTTCAAATTGCACACTGACAGTCTGCACTTAGCTCCCATATGCTTCTCCCTTCTGATGCTCTATAGTATGTTCCCTGTGATGTCTTCTAAATCTGTCCTTGTTCTTTTTAGCGCAACGCCTTTGCAAATGACACAATCCCAGCGGAAAGCTACATCAGTGCGGTCCAGGCTGCTCACCTGGGCACCCTTTGCAGCCAGAGTCTACCTCTTGCAGCCTCCTTAAAACACACACTCCTTTCCTTGGTCAGACTCACTGGGGACCTCATTGTGTAAGTGAACATTTTTATTCTCTGGTTCTGCAGTTCTTACCTTGCCTTTCAACTTGCAATTTCTGGATATGGGGAGTAAAAAGGTGATGGAGTCGGATCTCGAGACCAGGGTTTGAGATCTCTAAACGCTGAACTCAAGTCAGAGATTCAGAGCAAGCACTCTGAATTGTGTGTATACATTAAGTCTCCAACACTCAGTTTCTTCATGGTTTTTTCCGGTTTCAGCGAAAAATAACTTTGCTCTGGCAAAGGATTTCTAGAAGCCAAACTTCTCCCTCGGGGAAAGAATACGTAAACTTTTTTTGCAAAATTGGAAAGCGGCTGAAGTGTGATCTCACTTTTTAGATTATGACACCAAGTACATCATGTTGGGAGTGTTAGTGTTTCCAGAGTGTCACAAGAACCAAGTAGAACAGAAATCATTCTTTCCTGGTGACTTTACTGTGGGTTTTGGAAGCATGTAACTAGAGGCTGATACTGCAGCCATTTTGAGAAGATATACTGAATGGTGCAGTGACTGTGCAGTTGCTCATATAGTTTTGGGAATCATAAGGATTTGAGAGGCAATAGGTAGGGGAGTTGTTCAAAATGGGCTGTGGGCTTGACATGGATCTTGGCTGTCATCTAGAGTTGTGTTCTGCCTGCATGCCTCTTCTTCTAAACTTTACTGTAGAGTTCGTTTTCTAGCGTACTTATGTCAGTGTTAATGGAGTTCCTCTTTTTTCCTTTCAAGCTGGTCGGATGAATTGAACCCACAGCAGGTGATACATACTCTATTGCCCCTTCTCTTGGAGACCAGCACGGAAAGTGTGGCAGAGATCAGCAGCAACTCCCTGGAAAGGGTCCTGGGGCCTGCAGAGTCAGATGAGTTCCTGGCTCGTGTCTATGAGAAATTGATCACGGGATGTTACAACATACTGGCTAATCACTCCGATCCCAACAGGTAACCACATACAGAGTGGCCTTCCTTCTGGTATGTGGCCAGGCATGTGGGAATGATCATCACAATCCTTATGCATCAATATAGCTTCTTTACCAGCATTACATACTGACAGGGACTAGTATGTTCTGTTCTGTGCTGCAGAAACTTCAAAGGAGTGCAAGATATAAATAAGCAGTGTGAATGTGATAAGCAGCTTTAACCGAGTCTGGACCCTACGTTTATATTTGAACAGTGGAGAACTTGTGGCTGTTAAACAAACGGATGTTAAACAACGAGCATGAAATCAAGACTTGAGATGCTGATCAGAATCATTGTGTTCAGCTAATTCTCTATTGTTTGCTCTATTAAGTTAGGCTGGCTAATCCCAGCTTTCTCATTGCAAACCAGACAGATTTATGTCTTTCCTTTCCCATTCTGTCTGTGTAAGTACCAAGATAATCAGCTTGGTGTACAGGTACACATCCCAGCTATCTGAGATGTAAAACCATTATGCATGATGATATTGCATCTTTTTAACATTGATCCCTGGTGGATGGAAGAAACTCAGAAGGGAGCTGACTACATATTCTGTTAGAGAATGAAAATGTAATTGGATTTTGCATGGAGGGTGCGTTGAGGGAATGTTTGCTGCAGAAGCATGGCTGTTATTCCAAACCACGCAAGGAAAAAGCTTGCAAAGGAGTGCTACTGAAAGCGACTTGAGCCTTATAGTGGGCAGTGAATTAGACATGACTTCACAGTATGATACCCTGGCCTTTTTTGCTGCCGTACAGTTGGGGTGCATTCATAAAGGCATCAAGTAATGGTCTTTTCTGTGTGCTCTGGGTCAAACACACCTAGAGTACATTGTTTTCAAGTGCAAGCACCAGTTACCAGAATGACTGGTGACTTGGAGTTTAGAAAGAGCAATACAACGATTGGAAAACAAGGAAGTGACTTGAGGGAAGCTTAAAAAGAGGTAGATGCCCTGTTTGGTGTAAGGCTGAAGAGTTTAACGCGAAGGGGAGAGAAAAAGTATTGGTCACAGTACACCTAGAGGCAATGAACATGAAAAGACCTCCTGACATGTATATCTCTTGTTATTGAGTAGTCTCTGGAGAGAAGTGGGACTGATCACTTTGAACTTACAAAACCAGAGTGTTCTTTATCACACAGTTTTTATGCAATCCAACATTGGCAGCAATGTGGACTAGACCAGGGGTTAGTAACCTATGATCTCGCCCGCAAAGCCAATTAATTTGAATTGCTTTGCCATTTCAGAGGGGCTCTCACTTCCATTTGTTCTCCTTGGAGTTGTATTTACTTGTAATTGTGTGGTTCTTCCTAGTTCCTACTGCCTGGTGAGCAGGGCTGCTTTATCGCCGGCTGTAGTATGAATCTGTTAATGTTTATGTAATGTTCATTCATTAGGGTTCTTTCCAGTTCTAGAAAAGACTTTGCTTGTATAGAAGTCATGGGTTTATTTGTTAAAATGGTTTACCACAGGTAAGCAATTTGGACTGCACTGGAGTTGTGAATGTGCGCTCTTGCTTCAACTTGATTTTTTTTTTTTTTTTAATCCTCAGTGGCCTTGATGAGTCTATCTTGGAAGAGTGTTTGCAGCATCTGGAGAAGCAGCTGGAGAGCAGCCAGGCTCGGAAAGCCATGGAGGAATTCTTTTCAGAGAGGTGAGTTGTGATGGGATGTGACAGATTAAAGAATTGCTTTCTCCTCTCTCCTTTCTAGTCTTGCCACACTTGCCTTTTTGTGGGAAATATGTAGAGTTCGCAAGGAACATGTTGCCGCCTTGTGTAGGATTTTAGGGGTATAGACAGATGTAACAATTATATCAATAGCAAATGATTTAAACTGATAGGATCCAGCTGTTACTTCATTGATTTCATAGATGTTAGAGTCAGAAGAAACCTAAGTAGAGCATCGAGTCTGACCCCCTGCCCTGGGCCAGAAAAGCGCTGGGGTCAAGAGACCCCAGCCAGGTGCTTGTCCAATCTCCTCTAAAAGACCCCCAGAGTAGGGGAGAGCACTACCTCCCGTGGAAGCCCATTCCAGATTCTGGTAACCCTCACTGTAAAGAAGTCCTTCCTGATGTCTAATCAAAGTCCTTCCTGATGTCTCTCTGTCAGTCTGAGGCCATTATTTCTAGTAACTCCAAGGGATGCCCTGGTAAATAGAGCATCTCCTATTCCTTGCTGCCCTCCCCTGATGAATTTGTAGACAGCCACAAGATCACCTCTCAGCCTTTTGTTGTGCAGGCTGAAGAGATCCAGGTCTCTCAATCTCTCCTCATAGGGCCTTGCCTGCAGGCCTCTAACCCTACGGGTGACCCTCCTCTGTACCCTCTCAAGGTTATCTACATCCCTCTTGAAATGCAGCGTCCAGAACTGGACACAGTGCTCCAGCTGCAGTCTTACTAATGCTGCATGGAGGGGAGGTATCACCCCCTTGGACCTGTTTGCGATGCACCTGCTAATGCATGATAGAGCGCGGTTGGCTTTACTGATCACTTATTCACATTGACAACTCCTGTTCATCTTGGAGTTGATTATGACTCTGAGATCCCTTTCCACTGCTGTGCCGCTTAGAAAGTCATCTCCCAGTCTGTAGGCGTGTTGGTAATTCCTTCTCCCTAGGTGCAGCACTTTGCACTTATCTTTGTTAAACTGCATCATATTCTGTTTTGCCCACTTTTCCAACTTATCCAGATCCGCCTGAATCGGTTCCCTGCCCACCAGTGTGTTTACTTTGCCCCATAATTTGGTGTCATCTGCAAATTATACTTCTGCATGATTCTGTAGTGACACAAGTGTAGCAAAGCCATTGCATCTTTAACCCTGCTTCATTCACTGTCAAAGCTGGGGCCGTTTCTAACTTGTATCACTACGGTATCATGCCCGTGTAACAGTTGAATCGGGGCAGTTGCTGTGTGCTCCAAGCACAGCTCCTCCTCCCCTTTGAGGGCTATTGAAAGGTACATTCATCTACATCCTTTTTTGTAGTGGGATCATGAGTGGAGTTCTGCCTTCTAAGGGAGCTTCATGTGGTATTGCATCTTTTACGAAGCTGTGACCCCCACCCCTGCCTCCTTTATTACCCACCGTCATATCAGTCTTGTTGTGCTTAGATATGTATCCCACCTCTCTGTAGCACCTGACAGCATGAACTGTTAATCTTTAAAATGGGAGACAAGGAAATAACAGTGAAGAAAAATAGTTCAGCTTCTAAAAAGATCCCCTGTTTTGTTCTCTCTTGTGTCTCAATTAGTGGAGAACTGGTCCAGATCATGATGGCAACAGCCAATGAGAACCTCTCAGCTAAATTCTGCAACAGAGTCCTGAAATTCTTCACCAAACTCTTCCAGCTGAGTAAGTGGTCCTCTTTAAACTTTGCATCACAGCTTTGTCTGGATAACATGCTCGCTCTGTATATATTGCAGGTAGAAAATGCTTGAAAAGCAAGTGTTAGGAAGAAATTGAAGACTTCAAATATACCTTGAACAAATTGTCCTTTTATTTGCTCCCTTTCCCACCTCTCTTCTCTAGTTTGAGTTCCGAGTTCTGTCATTACCACACTCTTAATTATTTTGTTCTTATTTCCTTAAAATATTTGTCCTTTTAGTGTGTATTAGAAGCTCATTTCCAGTTGTCAGAATTCCACTGTAGAAAGAAGTTGAGTAGGAAGTTTAGTTGTCAGGAGGAGCAGACAGGAGGGGATTGTCTGGCATCATCGTGTGTGTGTGTGTGTGTGTGTGTATGTGTGTGTGTGCATATGAAGATAGATAGTCAATAGTTGAAAAATGTCTCAAGTCACTGGGTATCCGCAGTGCCTGTGGAAACTAGTGAAGGAATAGATTTAGAATGGTCTACGAGGAATAGCTGCACGGTTGACTCCCACTGATGGATTTCTGTTGCGTTTTGCTTTTGGTACCAGTTTCAAGACATTGTCTTTGTATTGGCATGAGACTAGTTATAATAGGAAAAATGTCCTTTTACTTGTTCAGCTTAAAGATGCTTTATCAATCATTGATGTCTCTGACTCTTAGCTGAGAAGAGCCCTAACCCCAGCCTCTTAAGGCTCTGTGGTTCCTTGGCCCAGCTGGCTTGTGTGGAACCTGTACGTCTTCAGGCCTGGTTAACCAGGATGACTATGTCACCCCCAAAAGATTCAGATCAGCTGGATGTTGTTCAAGAAAATAGACAACTGCTGCAACTTCTAACAACGTACATTGTTCGGGAGAACAGGTAGAGTTCCTTTGTGTGACTTACCTACTGTGCTCTCAATAAACATACAGTTTGTTGTGTAGACAGCCCTTATTTATCTATTACATTAATAAGTACTGATGGACGTTAATTCATACTGTTCATCTGTCACATTGCAAGGCTCCTGTTGTCATTGTCAGAACAATCAGAGTGTGTGTCTGTCTCAAGCAGTCATCTGTGATGTTCTGGGAATTTGATTTGCTTTTGGGACGTGGACACTGCAGAGCTCAAAGTAACTCTGAAATGCATTTAACCGGGTCTTGAATGGTTTAATTCCTCTTGAACTTTCTTATTGTTGATTAGCCAAGTTGGAGAAGGCGTGTGCACTGTTCTGCTGAGTACCTTGATACCGATGGCAACAGAAATGCTGGCCAATGGTGATGGAACGGGCTTTCCTGAACTGATGGTTGTGATGGCAACTCTAGCTAGTGCTGGGCAAGGCGCGGGCCATCTCCAGCTTCACAGTGCTGCAGTCGATTGGCTGAGCAGATGGTAAGAAGAATGAGACCCGTGTTGATGTTTAAATAGCTCTGTGGTTGGACTTAAACTTCCAGGGAGTTGGTGTTGAGTGAGGGTGCCTTTTTTTTTGTTACATCCCCTGTAGCTGAGAGTGATGGAGGCGATTAGGATAATCATTTCAAACAAACTGCTTGAGATTTTGTCCTTAATGAGGATTGAATGAATATTTGCCTCAAAATGACTTTCGGTATCTATTTTCTTCCTTTCCTTTGTCTTACAGCAAGAAATACCTGTCTCAAAAGAATGTTATCGAAAAAATGAATGCTAATGTCATGCAGGGAAAGGTAAGACATGGATGGTCCTCTGCTCTCAGTATTTAGTTGGGCCAATTCTGTACCAGAGAAGTTGGTTTGTTTTGTGCTGGTTTTTATATATGATTATACCCATTATAAGTCCTAGTGTGAACTCCTTCATACTAGTATAAAGATGCCTGTTACTGATGTTGCGTATCCTGATTCAGAAACTGAAGAAGTCTTACCAGCGTGAGCAGTTTTATGTAGCCATAAGTGTTCCCACCAGTTGGGTTTGGGAATTAACAAATCAAGTTAAAACAGCAAAACTTTCTAGTGTGAACAAGTCCCAAGTATTTTCTATATTCGGTGACCAGGCCTAGTTTACCAGGCAGTAGATTATAATTATGAAATAACTGTGTTATGTGTTTGGATGCAACTTTGTAAAGTCTGAGTCTTCCCTTTGCACTGTTCCTTTTATACACAGAGTATAGTGATCAGTTTTACTTTTCTTTGAAATACTCTCTAAACTTAGGTTCAGTTTAAAGTCCCACGTTTACCCTTTCAGAACAATGCCATTGCCATTTCACTGTCTCCATCTTACTGCGAATTTGGCTCTCTAAAGCAAATATTGCAAGTAGATAAAATTCCACCTTTTTCTGGGCAGACACCAAACACAGGTTGTTTTGGCTGATACTTTGTTTGCTGAAGAGCAAGAGGTGCCTTCTGTTCTGTTCTCCTTTTTCTATTCTTTTCTGTTCATCTGGCAAGAGGTTGAAACTCACCTGGGTTTGGCATTTCCATTATCCTAGCGCAGTGCAGCTCATACACTACACATAGCTGCATGTGACAGATAAGTTTTAGCCTGGGCCTACCAGCCGTAGCAGTGTCCAGTTGTGCCCTGTAGTACAGTTAAGTGACACACATTCTTTTGGTCTTTGTCATGAAGAACTAGAAGCATTTTCATATGGCAAACCAATGTTTATGCTCATTTAAAATTTGTTTGAACCAGCAGAATTTAACTTTTTCTTTTTTACCATCCATTGCTCATAGCACGTTACTATTCTGGAGTGCACGTGCCATATTGTCTCTTATTTGGCTGACGTCACCAATGCACTGAGCCAGACCAGTGGCCAAGGACCCAGTCATCTTTCAGTTGATGGAGAAGAACGGGCCATAGAGGTTGATTCGGATTGGGTAGAAGAGCTGGCCGTGGAGGAAGAAGACTCTCAAGCTGAAGACTCGGTAGGTTCTGGGCTGGAGGTCAAAGCAGGCTTCTGTGTTTGTATACAGCACCCAGATCAGATTTATGTTGATGTAAGAGTTGATTTTTTTTCTTGCAATTTCAAATCGGGACAAACCCAGAACGGAATTTGAAAGCTCAGCTATATCCACTGTCTTTTCATTATTTTTGGTAATAAAGGTTGGAACTCAGCTGGCGGTTTTGTTAAATGGTGCGTGAGGTAGAAAAGGTCCAGCTGAGTCTTGGATAGATCCACTGCATCGGCTTTGTTGACCAAGGCAAAAGCTTTTGCCAGGAAAGCAAAAAACAGAGACAGTGAGCAAGAAATGTTGAGTAAGAAGGTGTTGGCCTTGTTGCTTCTAATAAGTGATTAAACTGGAGTAGGTCTTTAGATGCCCCTCTGTGAAATTAAATCCATCATCCTCAGTATTTCACTCTTGTAAAAGCATGGCCCTGGCATCTTATTTTCATTATCATCTAGTTCTCCTTGGATGCAAAGTGAAGCACTTAGCCTCTTGTTGCTTGGTGCCTGCTATTCTTTGGCATATGTGGTGCTAAAATCTCCTTTTTGAAATGTGTTTTCGGCAGAGGAGTTGGCTTTAAGTGAAGTGACTCCAAAGTAGGTAGGTGTGTCAGGCACTGGTTTAAAAGATCTTCCTTCCTGCGCAGGATGAAGATTCTCTCTGTAACAAACTCTGCACCTTCACCATCACACAGAAAGAGTTCATGAACCAACACTGGTAAGAGTCCTTCCTTTTCAGAATTTCAGCCTGAATTCTCTGGCTGTTGAGATTTGGGAGAAGCCTGGTTTGCAAAACCTTTGAGGGGCTGTCATTTCTAACTTGCTGACTCCTTGTGCAGGTACCATTGTCACACTTGTAAGATGGTGGATGGCGTTGGTGTCTGCACAGTGTGCGCTAAAGTTTGCCACAAGGACCATGAGATTTCTTATGCCAAATATGGTTCCTTCTTCTGTGACTGTGGAGCCAAGGAAGATGGCAGTTGCCTGGTAAAAGATCTTCATTATTCAGTTGAAACTGTCCTGAAACTATCACGAGTTGCCTTACGTTTGGCTTTGCCTAGCTTTGTCTTGCACAGTGCTTATCCCATGACATCAGTGCATCAGAACCCCAGTCTGTACCCTAAGTCTACTGTAAAATAAGCTTACCCCTGCTTGTGGCTTAATAACTTCATGCCATTCACGAAGAGGATGTTTGCTGGCAGGTCTTTGTCCAGATTACAGCTGTGAATCTTCATAAATGACTTGTGCTTCAGTGGTCAGCTTTATGTTGACCGCTTATCAGATCCTTGCTCCTCTGAAGTTTCCCAGCAGCTGCTAATGTTAGTACCTCTCACACATGATAGCCTAAGGAGTTATTCTTACTCCTGTTGAAATAAGTAAGAGTTTTATCATTGATATTAAAGAACAACTGGGCCCTCAATGTTTGCTTTATCTTTTCCAGGCTCTGGTGAAGAGAACTCCCAGTAGTGGCATGAGCTCCACCATGAAGGAATCTGCATTCCAGAGTGAACCCAGAGTGCCTGAGAGTGTCATCCGCCATGCTACCACCTCCCCAGCAGAGAAATCCAAGGTCACCATCAGTGAGGGGAAGGGTCCGGATGAAGAAAAGCCAAAGAAGAGCAGCCTGTGTAGAAATGTTGAGGGCTGTCGAGAGGAGCTGCAATCCCAGGTACAGTTCAAATTGCGTTTGACAATCGGGAACAGTACCTCAGGGTTTTATCTTCCTAGCAAAAAAAAAAAAAAAAGCTGTCTTTCCAGCAGCCAGCACCATGTACTTAAATGCTCCTATCATTTGATTTAGAGCCATGCTGATACTGTTAATGCAGGGAAGGTTGAGAATTAACTTTGAGTATTTGTGTTTCATACTGGTATTTGATGCAGAGTGAATGTGTGGTAGGCTGTAGGGGATATTAGATGAGCTATGTATTTCTCGGTTTTTCCTTTGCATAACAAGCCCATAAATGCTCTCTCAACATCCACCTTGCTTGTGAAGTTCTAAGGAGGTTGCAAGGTTATATCTTGTGCTTTACTTGCTGTGTCTGTTTCTTGCAGGCCAACTTCTCCTTTGCTCCTTTGGTGTTGGAGATGCTGAACTTCCTAATGGAGGCCATTCAGATTAACTTCCAGCAGGCTTCAGCCATGGGAAGCAGCAGCCGGGCACAGCAAGCCCTGAATGAGCTACATGCTGTGGACAAGACGGTGGAGATGACAGATCAGTTGATGGTATGTTACGAGCAGGCTTGCTGATTGAAATGTCTGCTTTAAGTATTTAGGCTTTTGGGAATGTAGGAATCACATTTTTTCTTTTTCTTTTTTTTTCAATATCTCAGGTCCCAACTCTTGGCTCTCAAGAAGGTGCCTTTGAGAATGTCCGAATGAATTACAGTGGTGACCAGGGCCAGACAATCCGACAGCTCATCAGTGCTCATGTGCTGAGGCGGGTAGCGATGTGTGTGCTCTCCTCCCCTCATGGGCGCCGCCAGCATCTGGCTGTGAGTCATGAGAAGGGCAAGGTGAGTTGAGAGTGGATGCACCTCGGGACCAGTACTGTGCTATACTGTACAGTTATACTCTGAAGTAAAAGGAAGCAGACTTCAAATGTTGTACAGTAAGCAGAAAATCAATTGGACTTCCCACTGTCAGAACTGGTTACTCTCTAGTCTAAACAATTAAATAGGAAAACCTCTGTGAGTGAGTATTTCATCCTTAAAATGGGGGGGGGAGTCTTGCTTGCTGCAGGGACACTGATGGGGTTATATGAGACCCTGGATACTCTGAATGTTTGTGATCTTTGAGTTGGAGAATTAACTTGATTCCATTGTTTTCTAGATTACGGTGTTACAGCTCTCAGCATTGCTGAAACAAGCGGACTCCAGCAAAAGGAAACTGACTCTCACCCGCCTTGCCTCTGCACCAGTTCCCTTTACTGTGCTGAGCTTAACAGGAAATCCTTGCAAGGAAGACTACCTTGCTGTGTGTGGACTGAAGGTGAGGTTCTGGCATGTAAGAGCTCCTTCACTGCTTGGAAACGCAGTCTCAGTGCAAATGGGGCACCTCTTCCAAGGAGACGGGTTATAGAGTTACAGCAGACTGTAAAAGATATGCTGGATATGCTACTGCATTCAACTCTTGAATCACTTGCCTGGTGTTTTTAGCTGTAGCTTCATTTACTACTTGAATCCTATTTGTCATTTTAAACTATTTACAATAATACCCAACTAAAATACTTCCTTATCTGGTACTCACTCAGCCGCTTGTACGTTGGTGCGACAGAAGCTAAATATTAAGGCTACGTGAAGCTTTGGTTGCTGATTCAGTTCAGCAGAGATTCGGCCTGATTTGGCAGCTGAATCTCCAAATCTGAATCAAATCGAGAAACCCTTTAATCTCTCTGAGTCGAATTGGAACCCTCTGAATTGATTTGGAGAGATTTGATGATTCAAACATAGACACTGCTTTTAAATGTTTGTTCTATATACATCAAGATACCAGGCAGCTCGCGACTGCTGAGATGCTGGGGCGGATGGAGTATCTCACGGGAGCGCAGGAGGCTCCCCAGTGCGCTTGGCGGCAGACCCAGAAGGACCAGAAGCACTTCTGGTCCACTTCTAGGTCCGCCGTGGAGCACGCGGGGGACCTCCACCCCCTGGCTCGGTGACTGGTGCCTCCTGGGTCTGGGGAGGCACCCAGAGTCCCCCCACAGCCGATCACTGAGCCAGGGGAGCACGGGGGGAGTCCACTGCTGAGCATGCCGGGGGGGCCACCCCATGCTCCTGTGGGACGCTCTATCCTCCCCGCCATTGCAGCGTTCATGAGCCGTGCCTGGTACCTCGAGGTATGTAGAAAAACATTTAAAGCTGTGTCTATGTCCGAATCGCTGATTCTCTGAATCAACATCAAATCTTCAGATTCGGATTCGGCCAAATCAAATCAGGACAGTGATCCAAATCAACGTATTAAATCACTATCCCCTGAATCAGGCCAAATCCGAATTAAATATGGCCCGCTTCGCACACCCCTACTAAACATCTGCACAAATAAGATAGTTGAAATGAATGCGACTTAAATATAGTCTGTAGTCACGTCCAGTGCTGAGCAGTGGGTCTTTGTTTTGCATGCTTTTGAAGCTTCGTGCAGTTCCCACAGTTAAAAGACATGCTAGCCAAGAGCGAGCTTTTTTTCAAACGTTTTTACAAACTCTAAAAGGCAGACGCATTCATCTGAAAAGCAAGGATTGGATTCTTGTTTTGTGAATCCGTTAGTAGGACTCTGGGCTGGAGGAGAGAGGCAAGGATATTGAGGGCATGGTATGTTTTATTGGATCAGCTGCTTGGGAAAGATCTTAAACAAGTTTTCGGGTGAAAGGTACTCTTCCTCGGGTCTGGATTCCCACCCCCCAACTGGACAGTTGGCTAAGTTTAATTACTTTTCTCTCTCTCGTCCTAGGACTGCCATGTGCTAACGTTCAGCAGCTCTGGGTCTGTCTCGGATCATTTGGTACTGCATCCCCAGCTGGCCACAGGCAACTTCATCATCAAGGCTGTCTGGCTTCCTGGGTCTCAGACAGAGCTTGCTATTGTAACTGCAGACTTTGTGAAGGTAGCATCACCAGCTGCTGGTGCTGTTGGTTGTTCCTCATTTTTCCCTAAACTGACGTGGTTCTGGCAGCTGCCAAACTCACTGGCATGTTTGTCGAAATGTCGCAGTGGTCTTAATTAGAAGCTGTTGTGTGCTAGTAAGGGCAATAATGTTATCTTTAGCTTTTAAATATGTATATTTATTCCTTCTTTTGTTACATTTGTATTCTACCCTCTACAATACAAGGGCAGTTCACAGTAAAAAAAAAAAAAACCCCAACAAAAAACAAAACCCCAAGATTATAATGGCAAAGTATATCTTTGTTGCAATTAAAAAGACAAGTCTCACACCTTGTGTTCCAAGTGCCTGACTTGTGACACTTCCCATATGGTTTTCAGAAGTACTGAACACCTCTGAGTCCCTTTGCCTTCAGGTGCGAGCATTGGTGCCTCTTCAAATCTAGCCTTGGTTGCCTAACATTTGTACACCCAAAACTGAAGGCTGCTTTTGAAGTGTGGGGCCAATATTTCTTTTATTCTGCCAAAAATTAAAAGAAAAATGCAGCTTGTGGGTCTTTGGTTACTGGGGTGGTTCTTTATTCAGCTGTCCTCCTGCACAAGTACTTGCATGTTTATAGGAAGAATCTCTGGCACTGCATGGTCAGCACTTGAAGTGCATTGTGACCCATGAGGAAAGGCTGTTCTATGGGCTTTTTGCTAATTCTTCCCCCCCTTCACCCACAGATTTACGACCTTTCAGTAGACGCCTTGAGTCCAACCTTCTATTTCCTTTTGCCAAGCTCCAAAATCAGGGATGTTACCTTTCTGTTCAACGAGGAGGGAAAGAACATCATAGTCATCATGTCCTCTGCTGGGTACATCTACACACAGCTCATGGAGGAGGCAAGCAGTGCCCAGCACGGACCGTTTTATGTCACCAATGTGCTTGAAGTCAGTCATGAGGATCTGAAGGTAATGGTGGTTTTCTCTTCTTGCATTGCAGCGATGGTTTATTTTCTCCTTCTGCTCCTGAAAGGAACAGGCGGCAGCATCCTTTTCTTTCCTTGATTTCATTCAGTGGTGTGCAACCTCCAACCCCACAGGCTGAATGAGTGGCTCAGGGCTGGTGCATGGGCTGGATCCTGCAGTTACAGTCCAGCATGCTGACTCACCCCGCACACTGGATCCAGCCACAGTGACCCTGCGCACCAGTGTGATCCATCACACAGGGTTCTGTTGTCTGGTCTGTGAGACTCCCCACCTGTCCAGAAATTTGGCAGGGGAGTGGCGGCAGCATTATAACTGCTGCTGTTTCCAGAGCTGCTTCAATTCATGCTGCCACTGCTCTCCCTGCCTCCAGATTTCCAGATATGCGAGAAGCCCCACAGGCCAAATGACATGGCCCTGTGAGCTGGAGGTTGATCACCCCTGATTCAGATCAATACTTTCTCTAAGGAAAGAAATATCCTGGCACTCAGAGGGTGGTGGGAAGGGGGGTGGGGTGGTGCTGGAAATTAAACCTCTTGATCCAGTCATCTAGAAAATCAAGCGTGTTTTCCATGGTTGGTCTGCAGTTATGCCCAGCAGGATTTCACAGCAGGGGGATGGTTTCGGAGCAGCGCTGCCATCAGAAGCGAGGCACTGATCAGGGTTCAGTCACCAGAATAGATGAGATTATCTTGCAGGGTCTACCAAAGTGCTGAGAATCTTTGCTTCTGTTCTTTACTGGCACCATCCCAGTACTGGTGCTCACTGCAGGTGCCCTTTTGGCAAATCATCCCATTCAACACCACTCGCTCAACCTGCTCCAAAATAGGAGCAGAAATGTAGGCCAAGAGAGGGGGAGCTCTTTTGGGACCAGATAAGGGGGGAGGTTTATGTGAGGCTGCTAGCCAGCATTCTCTTGCACAGATGCCAGCACTAAAGTATGCTGTCTCTAGCCTCTGCATGCGCAATCTGTCTTGTCTAAAAGCTTTCCGAAGTATCAGGTGATGAAAGTTCACCATTGAGCTTAGTGAGAAATTACTGGCTGCTGTCTCAGGGGGGCCAAGATGTGATCATTTGGGCTGGTGCTGAAACATTTTTACAAGGTCGTAAATGTCAAATTCTGGCTGCTTTGAAGCTCTGCAAAAGTGTATTAAGTGCTGGGATTTCTCCTTGCTCTGCAGGACAGTAATGGCCAGGTGGCAGGAGGTGGTGTGTCGGTGTATTACTCCCATGTCCTACAGATGCTGTTCTTCAGTTATTGCCAAGGCAAATCCTTTGCAGCCACAATCAGCAGGGCAACTTTGGAGGTGCAACGTCTTTTCCCGATCAACATTAAGAGGTGAGACTGGGGTTAGGGTTCCTCCTGCCATTCTTAGGGCTGTTGAAAGAGCCCAGCTCCTGTAGCCAGTGATGTAACCAGCCCTCCAGTTACAATATCTTACTCTTTTACATGGCCTTCCTGCCTCTACCCTCCCTAGTTGCAGAAAGGTTTGACTGAAATCTAACCCAGACATTCCTATAGCAGCTGCGTATGCACTTATGCTGATTTCGCAGCAGAGAGGTGCCTTTGGAGCAGCCTTGCTGTCTGAATGTGGAGCTGCTAATGGTGCAGCAGCTGGAACTGATGAGATTATCCACCCTCGCAGGGGCTGCAGACCAGGAAAGCTTTTGTTTCCTTTCAGCACCAGAACTGCAGCGGCCCCAAGCATTGTGCATATCCAGGTTCCCCCAAGGGAAACCAGTCTCTTAGTTTAGAAAAATGGCAAGAAGAAAGCACTTGTATCCTCTTCTCCCAGCCAGAGCTAGACATTCAGGTCACAGCCTCCATAGCCTGACACAAAACAGATACCTTGCAGACCAGCTTTCTCTTGTCTGAATGATTATGTTCCCGGGAACATTTTCCTTTGTGTGCGATAAGGCAGCGTTACAGTGTAGGGACCCTGCATCTGTTAACAGTTAAGTCTTTGCACTGAGATCGATGCTTCTATAACCTGACTGTGCCGATAAAAAATTCAATCTGTCCCTCTGGATTACTGGTGGCCTGATAAGAGCTGTCAGTGATGTAAAAGTGAAAATATAGTTCCGAACTATTTTAAGGGTCAATTTTCTGTTTGTGGGTAGAAGGTCACTAGAATTTTATATACCAAAGTATGCTAAGGAACTAGAAATTGGTAGAGCTGAGCTCCCTTCTTAATTCTGCCACTCACCTTTTTGACCTCTATCTACTTCAGTTTCCTCGTTGGTGATAATCTGGCGCACTTCCCAGATGTTTGTGGTGATTCATTTGAGTTAATTGGGAGGTGTTTTAGCCTTTATTGGTTGAAAGGAAAGTCCTTGCTGGCTGTGGTTATTTTGTATGGTGCTGCATATAGCTGTTTAATGAGATAATGTGATCCTGGCCGCCTCCTTCTCATGCAGTTCAAATGGTGGAAGCAAGACCTCCCCAGCACTGTGTCAGTGGTCTGAGGTGATGAACCATCCCGGCTTGGTGTGCTGTGTTCAGCAGACCACAGGTGTTCCTCTGGTGGTCATGGTGAAGCCAGACACTTTTCTCATCCAGGAGATTAAAACCCTGCCAGCTAAAGCAAAGGTTAGTCAGTGTTCTTATTTATTCTGGCGTTTTCATAGATTTCATAGACATTCGGGCTGGAAGGGACCTCGGAAGATCATCGAGTCCAGCCCCCTGCCCCAGGGGCAGGAAGTCAGCTGGGGTCATAGGATCCCAGCAAGAAAAACATCCAGGTTTCTCTTGAAGGCATTCAAAGTAGGCGCTTGAACCCCCTCCGGCGGCAGTCTATTCCAGACCTTGGGGGCTCAGACAGTAAAGAAGTTCTTCCTTATGTCCAGCCTGAAATGGTCTTGCAGGAGTTTATAACCATTCGACCTCGTCATCCCTTGGGGCGCTCTGGTGAACAAACGTTCCCCCAGGTCCTGGTGAACACCCCTTATAAACTTATAGGTGGCCATCAGGTCGCCCCTGAGCCTGTGCTTTTCCAGGCTTTTTAAACCCATTTTCATGTGGCTCTGCACACAGCTGCTTACTAGAGTGCCTTATCAGTGGTGTCCTGCTGATAAGGGCTGCCATCTCTGCTCTTGCAAACAGCAGGGGTTTCAGTACACAAACCGGCTTCCTATTCTGAGAGGTAGTCAGCCGGGTAAGTCTGAAGGAGTTTATTCTCTCAGGCAGTAGCTGCCTAGGCTTTTTTTTTTTTTTTTTTTTTTTTCAACCCATGTGATGATCTCTCTCAGATCCAGGACATGGTGGCCATCCGTCACACAGCATGTAATGAGCAGCAGAGGACCACCATGATCCTCCTATGTGAAGATGGCAGCCTGAGGATCTACATGGCCAATGTAGAGAACACATCCTACTGGCTTCAGCCCTCTCTTCAGCCTAGCAGCGTCATCAGCATCATGAAGCCAGTTCGCAAACGCAAAGCGGCTGCTATTAGTAAGGCTGTTTTCCTTTTATGTTCCTTTTATATTGCCAGGGGAGAAATAAGAGGGTGCGTTAGCTTAGTTTGGCCTGGCACGTCTCTTTTCTGAGCTGCTTCCTATCATCTTTTCCAGCGACTCGCACCTCCAGTCAGGTGAATTTCCCCATTGACTTCTTTGAACACAACCAGCAGCTCACAGATGTGGAGTTTGGAGGCAATGACCTATTGCAGGTTTATAATGCCCAGCAGATAAAGCACCGGCTCAATTCCACTGGCATGTATGTGGCCAACACCAAGGTAAGTGAGACAACTTAGGGGTTCTTGGGCATTTATACAATGCTGGCACCAGGGGCTGAGCTTATCATCAAGCCATAAGCAACTGTTCTAGAAAAAAACATATGCCTATATTCAGATGAATGCAGCTGGTCAGGGTTTTGAGTTACCCAGCCCCATCAGTCACCAGAGGCAGCTGCATGTGGACTTCGGGCGCTCAAACACAGTCCTCCTGAGGACCACCTTGGCATTCAGTCACAGCCAGTCTTCACTCCTTAGGATCTCTTCCTCAACTCTGTTGCTCGTTTATTTTTCCCCCTGCTTCTTTCTGCTGCTATCTCTTTCTCTGCTTCTGGTCTCTAGAAATAGAGCAGATGAGCTCCTATCTAACAAGGCCTTTGAGTCAGCCACTATCAGCTTCTCTACACAGTGCTTCCCAGCAGGTTACTTTTAACCTTAGGTAGTGTAAGAAGCCAAATGTTAATCCCAAGAAGTGTTCTGCCCATTATGTAGTGTAAAGTGGCTTTTAGTGCCCTGGCTTTTAGTCCTGGGTTATACGTGGTTAACAGCACTTCTCTTCAGCTTTCCTTTCCCAACCTGTGATTATCTCCTGCAGCCTGGCGGCTTCACCATTGAAGTCACGAACAACAACAGTACAATGGTAATGACAGGCATGCGGATCCAGATTGGCACCCAGGCGATTGAGCGGGCTCCTTCCTACCTGGAGATCTTTGGCCGCACCATGCAGCTGAACATGACCAGGGCTCGTTGGTTTGACTTCCCTTTCACTCGAGAAGAAGCCCTTCAAGCAGACAAAAAGCTAACCATCTTCAGTAAGTGTTTGATGTTGGCTGAGTTCCTTAAACATCTGTGATGGCTGTCTTGGGGATATTGCATTTCACTCGTTGACTGGCAGAGATTCCTCTGGGTGCTGTTTTGACATGGCTGTAGCCTAAATTCTAACTGCAGTACTGTTAGGTTTCTGTGTAAAGTTAGCTGCTTATAGTGGGTCCAGCCACTCATTGCAGAGGACAAATCGGCATCCTTTTTAGTTGAATTACAGGGATTCTCAGCTGAGAAAACAAGGAGAGAGAAACTTCAAAATGAGGCAGAAGGGTTGAATGACGTTAAGAGCATCAGGGCTAACTGAGTATAGAACCTTCTGCAGGTTGGTACTGGGGAAGAGCAATGCAGTTTTTACATAACAGTAATATCTGTCTCTCTGTGTCTCTCTCTCATTGCAGTTGGGGCCTCTGTGGACCCTGCTGGAGTCACAATGATGGATTCCATCAAAATTTATGGCAAGACCAAAGAACAGTTTGGCTGGCCTGATGAGCCCCCGGAGGATTTCCCATCTGCTTCAGTGAGCAATGTTTGTCCCCCAAACCTCAATCAGGGAAATGGTACTGGAGATACAGAAGCTGCTACACCTGCAACTGCCAGTGGGACTGTCCTGGAAAGGTATCGATAGAATCTGATTTTTGTTTGCCTTTGAAAGAGGCTAGTGGCTGTGGGTGCGCTTACACAGCAGTCGTAGCTGGGAGCTTTTTTTTACTAGTAATTAATTAAGTGTTTCTCATTGTCCCTGACGTGACAAAATCCTGTTGTGTTACTGAAGAATCGGTCAATATTTTTTTACAGTGGCTGCCTGCTGCTCATTTCTAAGCGCCCAGATGGAGCTTGGTGCATTCTCCTGCATGTTACCCAGTTTTTCAGAAGCCCAAGAGGCTTTTGTTTCCCTCCTGTCTCAGTTAAATCTGGGACCCTTTACAGAGGTCACAAAAGTTAGAGCCTGTTTGAATCTAAGCTTGCCCCTGAGCCAGCGTTTCTTCATTAGTCTAGTTTTTGTGAGATTTTTCTGCAGATGTGTTCTTCTATCTCCTTTCACAGCAATATGGTAAAGTATTCCTAAATCAGTGGTTTCCACCCATTAGAACATGAAAGCTTCTAGGACAGAGGTGGGCAATTATTTCAGGCAGAGGCTGCTTACTGGGTTTTGGCAAGCCATCGAGGGCCGCATGACAGGCAGCCAGGCGCAGATTAATATTAATTTTCTAAATTTCTTAGGGGCCCCGCGGGCCAGATAGAGTGGCCTGGCGGGCTGCATCTGGCCCGCAAGTCGTATTTTGCCCACCCCTGTTCTAGGAGGAGCCTGTCCTGGATGTTTGCCAGTATCCAACTGAGGGGCAGATCATAAAGGGAATTGGGAGTGTATTACACTAGGCCTTACACCAGACTCCACCTGCCGTTTTTAGTGAATGTGAAGATAAAAAAGTGAAGATAAAACATCCAGGGTGCTTGGTAGGAAAAGCTGAGGGTTGACTGTGTCCATTGGTCCAGGAAGTCTGGGAATCGCCATGTTAGTTCTGTTTTATTGGGTTTATTCCCTTCACTCCATCTGTATCCCTGTCTCAGGTTTTTACATTCCTTGCAATAGATTGCAGAGCCTCAGGGCTGATGGGGACAGAAGGAAATGGGGGGGAAAAAGGGTCAATGACTTGGCATAGGGAGAAATGCATGCTGCTTAAAGATTAGCCAAGTTCGTACCTGGTGTTAACTAACTGCAGAGGTTAATTGCTTCATTGGGGGATGTTTTTAAAGGCACAGGCTGTAGGCACTTAAAGCCCCCTAGCAAGTCAAGGAGAGTTGGACACCAAACAGCCATTTATCTTTGAAAATAATACATGCCTTTGTATTTTATTAAACTAGAACTTGTTTTTTCTTGAAACTGGTCTATTTTTTTTTCTCCGTCCCCTGCTGTCCTGTCTCCACAAGGTGTCTCCCTCGGTGTGGAGATGGGAGCAGAGGGATTACATTTTCATAAAATGCAGAGCCAGACTGTAATCAGAGAAAATAATTTTTCTTACGTGCATTTTTTTATGTATCACAAAATGCCCAGCAGCCCAAAAATGACCCACTATCAGGAATTACTGAGCGAAGGGCATTTCCTGAGAAGTTAGGTGTGCCTTAAGTGTGCTTGGCTTCTCTGTGCTAGATGGCCTGGATTCCCCTGTAATTTATTTTGCCGTTCAGGCAGTGTTTGCTGCCCAAATAGTAGGATCCATGCGTGGAATTGCTATATATAAATTGCTCTCCCAGCTTCCTGATTTCCCCATTTAATTTGCCTTTTGCTTAGAATGTGTTTTAGGTAGTTTTCTGTGAGCTTCACACACTTTTTTTTTTTTTTTTTCCTTTTCTTTGCTCCCCAAAAGTTCTGAAACTGAGTCCCTAACCACCCTGGACCGGTTAGTATGCCATCCTTTTCTCTGCACGAATGAGTGTGTGTCAGAGAGGCAGAACACATGATGTGGCTTTTGTTGACTGGTTTTTTTTAAGTGACATTTTGCTTCTTTACATTCTGGTCATTGCATGGCAGATGATTTAGCAAAATGTAAAGATGAGGTGGATTGCGACTTTCTGCTTCATATGGTATAACTGTTGTCTGCTTGACCAGACTCTTCTGCTCACAATCTTTCCTTGCTTCTTTTCACCTTTCAATTTCCCCACTGGTTTATGCAGTCAGAGGGATTGTGAGGAGAAACGTTAATTTTTCACCAGACAAATGACTAGGGAACTTGCCCACTTCCTATGGTGTTTCTTCTACCAAGTTTTTGATCTTATGTTCTGCTCTCTCCCTTTGCGTTTAATGCTGTCACACGTGTTCCCTTCCCTGTCCTGGTAGCCTTGCCCTCTTTGGCTCCCTGCTCTGTGTTACTCTCTCCTGCCGTGTCGCACTGCTCCTTTTGGCGTGTCAGAGATCAGCGTTTCAGGCATTGAGTAGCAAGGTATTAAGTAGCGCAGCAAGAGAGGACCAGCACAAGACTGCGAGTCCTGACTAGGATTTTCTCTGCAGGCATCATGCTAACATACCTGTCCAGTATCAAAAACGCTTGAATGCAGACCACTGGACAGCTGTATATTATAGTTGGGTTACACTTAGGTGTTCAGAGTGCAGCTAATTTTTACTTTTGGAGCATTTGGGCTAAAACTCTAAATTGGGAAGAGCAACCTGTATGAAAATAACAAGCGAGCAGAATCTTGGTCCTTTAGAGAAGTCGGTTACGCTTTTTCCCATGTGTCACACCAACCCTTGATCTGCAGTCGTATGTACGTCTGTGGGCCATGGTGAATTGGTACTGTCAAGACAATCCAAGTTATCCCTGCTGCAGGCTGCGTAAGGAAATGTTTTATCCTCTTTGGTAGAGAAAAGCCCCTGTCTTTCAGCTGTGGATTATTAAAGCAGTCCTAAGTTTGTCTGTGAGCGTGAGCCAGGTTTAACTCTGGTCTGTAACACAATGAAATGATATGCATGGTGCCTGTGGCAGGTTTTATCATGCTTTGATTTTGTACTTGGCATTCGTTAGCTGTCTCTGAGCTACTCATGACTGTAGCCTGCATAAAGCAAAGTGCTAAGGAGAGAGAAGGGTTGCTGTACTCAAGCCTGCTTTCCTTTCTCCCTTCAGGCTAGTAGTGAGTTCTTTAGAAGCGCTGGAAAGCTGCTTTGCTGTAGGACCAGTCAACGAGAAGGCAAGTAACTTTCTGAATACATGCTTGAGCTTTCGGAGCTGAGGGAGGGAGGGACACGATCAGCAGCAGCTCCTGCAGCCCTAGGGGCCTGATACCAGAAGAGAGCCGCATCCGTTTTGCTCTAAGCTGCGATCTGAAAGTTGACTTGGCGAAAAGCATTTGCAACTTGTTTAAATGACAATTGGCATTTGCGCTCAGCCTAGGGGGGCTTTAATGCCTTGTTTGTGAAACCAGCAGTGGGGGAGCCTAGCAAGCTGAAGAGGACCTTTCCTCGGTATAACTCTGAACTGCCGTTGGAATATTAAGTGATAAGGTTAGCTGGACAATAAAGGCAGTGTGGATCAGAGGAATTCTGCTGCCCTTAGGGACAGGGAGATGATAGTGGAAAAAGGCTGGGCTCAGAGGTCAGACTTAGCTGCCTGCATCACCTTTAAGCAATGAATGTACTGAAGTCTGTTTGTGCTTTTGGGAGCAGGAGAAAAATAAGGCTGCAGCTCAGGAACTGGCTACAATGCTCCTGTCCATGCCAGCTCCTTCCAGCGTCCAGCAGCAGACCAAGAGCCTCCTGGCTAGCCTGCACACCAGCCGCTCAGCATACCATAACCACAAGGTAAGCAGGAAGGTTTCCCAAGCCTGCTACCAGGCAGTGTGGTTGGAGGCACAGAGTGCACCAAAGCACAGCATGCCTGCACGCAGCTTCCCTTCGACTCCTGCCTGTCTGGCATTTCTCCCTATCAGAGAGCTCTACGTTCAGGACACTTTTGAAGACTTGGTATGAAGTTGGGGCATAGGGGAAGACGCATTAGAGTCTTACAATGAGCTAAGTTTGCCTGCAAGCTATATCCCATAGGTCTAGAGTCTGCAGGGCAACCAGCTGTGAACAGGGCATTGTAGAAATGTATCAGGTAAATTGCATTAAATCTGAAAACATATTTGTACAATGAAGATGCAGGCGCATGCAGAGAGCTTTGGCTAACCAGCAGACAGACTTTTTCACCCCCTGCTAAGCTGCACCGAGAAATTAAAATGGACTCTCATGTAGGAACTTGCCTGTTACTGAGTGGTTCCCCATGCTATCGACTCTGTGTGAAGACAGTAATGAAGTCCATAGCAGTGGATTCTGAGTGGTCCTGCCTGTTCTCTCCTGCGGTGGTTCTTCAGATATTTGGTAGTCCTGTTCTGCTGTTTCTCTTTGTCCATTGTCACTCTTTCACTTTGCAGGATCAGGCCTTGCTAAGCAAAGCCATTCAATACTTGAGCTCCTCTAGCAAAGAAGGGAAGGATCTTGACCCTGAAGTATTTCAGAGGTTGGTCATCACTGCTCGATCCATCGCTATTATGAGGCCAAACAACCTGGTTCATTTCACAGAGTCGAAGTTGCCACAGTTGGAAGCAGGTGGATAAACCTCGATTTTTTTTTTCTGTTTAAGTCTTCCAGTTGTGTGTATTTGTGTACATGCATTTCATGGTGCAGAGGACCATGCACAGTTACATTCAGCCACTCATGAATGATGAAAGATGCCACGGCATCTAAAGATCTGAAGATATGTATAGCCCCCCCTTGTCTCTCAGACTTGGGGAGGGGAGCTGCAGTTAGGTATTCTGTGCACAATTTAAATAGCCGTTAAGTGGGTATCGAATTTAGAAAATGCCATCAAGTGGTGCTGATGGCAAGTGTCCCAAACTACACCCTGTGCAAAGATATTAAAGAGATTGGATATTGCTGTGGGGAGACAGAGCCCCATCTCGCTCTCTTGTACACATTACTTCTACTAGGTTTAAAAGTGAAATAGAAATAAAAATATAATTGGATTCATTGGTGATGAGAGCAATCTATTTCATCAGACAGTTTCAGGTGAACTCTGTGGCACCTTGCTTCTTAATAATCCCTGTCCACACCTCCCACAATTTCACAGTAATAGACATAATGAAACTAAGAAAAAAATTCAATATAAACAATGAAACTAACAATTAAAGAAACTTAGCCAAACAATCCATTTTTTCACTGTGCTCCAAAGTGTGCTGAATCTGGACCAAGAGAGACCACTGGAGGGAACAGATTTGCAGGGGTTGCTTCCTTTGGAATGCCCTGCCACCAGCCATGGCAAGCTTGACTGTCAGATTAACACCTGGAAGGTGTATTCGCTTTTAGGCAGTGGTGGGATAGGCACTTTTTTCAGGTAATTGGATCTCAGGCCATCTAGAGCAGCGATTCCCAACGCGGGCGCCATGGATAAAACTTCAAAAGAAATACAAAGTAAAGGGAAGCTGCATTTTGAAGTTGTGGGCCTAATGCCATTCTAAGTAATGGATGAGATGATCGGCTTGATCTAAGTTCTAAACTCTAATATTCATATTGGCGCCCACTTCTTTTTCTTTTAAATTAGTGTGTGCCCTTGTGCACATTAAATGTTGGGAACCCCTGATCTCTCTAGAGCTTTCTTGTAAGGGAAATGTCCAAGGAGGCAGACACTACTTCAGTCTCAAGAAGCAAATTCTAGCTTTAAATGAACTCTGTTTCCTTATGTCTGTAAAACAGTCAGACTGGTATGATTTTTTTTTCCTTTAATTTCTGTGACCCAGAGTTCTGTTTTGTACATTGGTGCAGTTCTGATGCTTGCTCCTTTTCCTTCCTAGAAGCAGGTGAAGAAGGGCAGGAAGCCCAGAAGCATGCTGAAGGAGATGGTTGTAGTTTTATTACCCAGCTGGTCAACCACTTCTGGAAGCTACATGCGTCAAAACCCAAAAATGCCTTCCTGGCTCCTGCCTGCCTGCCAGGTGTGTTCATTGAGCTTCATCTTTTACTATTGGGAAAACTGTATTTTGAAGCTTTTGCAGGCTCCGTTTCAGATGGGAAGCTTAGTCATAAGATCCTGAGATTGCCTTGAACATTTGCACCTTAAGTGATACTAATAGAAAACCCATATTGGTTTATTTGAGTTGTATGTGTTGTTTTTTATGACGTCAAGAGTCTGCTGCTACAGATGGGCATAATCAAAGACCTTTCCTGAAGCACTTGTAGTTCAAATAATAAATTGTTATTCTTCCATTTCACTGCCCTGTTCTCTTTTCTCCTTAGGTCTGACTCACGTTGAAGCCACAGTCAATGCTTTGGTGGATATTATCCATGGGTACTGCACATGCGAACTGGATTGTATCAATACTGCATCCAAAATCTACATGCAGATGTTACTCTGTCCTGTATGTAATCCTACTGGTGCTGTATGCTTTTAATCCTGTACCACTAGCAGTGTGAATAGAGTCTTTTGTGTGGGATGAGAAGAAAGGCAACTAGTGCGTTGTGAAAGGATGCTGTCAAACCCTTATGGCCAGCTCGAGTTAATTCAGGCCTTTGGATTCCACAGCAGCCTGGATATTCTCTAGCAGTCTCAGATGAATTATGAAACGGAAGGGTGTTGGGTTTTTTTCCCCAATTAAACTTGAAAAATGAATTGTGCGGTCAGCACAATACCCTGGAGTCTGCTTAGTCTGATGGTAAACACAATTTGTTTTATGTCTTCGTTGATTTTCGTTCTGCTGTAATGAGCACACAGCTGCCTTCACAGAAACTGTCAGAGAGTTTCTCTAGAGGCTTTAGGTAGGCAACAGCTGAGGTTTGGGGCTCTTGGTAAGACGTGAGAAGTGGATTAAAAACATTAGATAGTTATGCCATATAATGGCCAGCTATTGATGTCATTTTGCTCTTTCACTGATGATCATTTTTAGCCAAAGCATCTAACACTGCGTTTGGAAAAGTGGAACAGTTAATGCCTTTGAACTGATGTTTCAGCCTTTTGACAAATGGAGTGAAATACCAAGTCTTTTCATACTCCTTTAAAGGCTATCCTCATGACTGTAAGGGCTATGAGAGCTTTTATTTTTGCTAACTATTTTAAATCCTGGAACATCAGCTGACATTGTTGAGCTTGGAAAGTCCAGTTTCCTAAAAGCAGCAGCCTGCCAGTGCCTCATCTCTTACTCAGCTATTTTCCTTTGCCCAATATGGGAAGGTAGTTTGGACAATACTCTGAAGACGTGGTTGAAGCTTAATGTCCATTCAGTAGAGCAATGTACAATTACTAGTTCCATGCATCTGTTGTGAGGCATTATAGGTATAGCTTCAAAGCCAGGGAAGCTCATTTTAATATTTGCAAGAGAAAAAAGACCCCTGTTTTCATGTTTGATCAAACAGCAAATCTGATGAGTGAGAAAATGTCCTTTTATGCTACTGCATAACAAGGAGGTAGTCTACAGAATCATAAAAAATAAAGTAGAACTGGAAGGGACTGTTGGAGGTCATCTAATCCAGTCTCCTGCTTGAGGCAGGATCATCCCTATACAAATCTAAGCCATCCCATACAAATAAAACTAGCAAAACTGAACAATCAACCCTCTTATATGGAAACATCCTCTATATCTACACAGAATTATGTCATTTGTACCAGAGATTGAGAATATAGTGGGGAAGAAATGAATGGAAAAAGAGAAAATATGAGTGGATGAGTATTCTCAATACTTGCCATATAGCTGTACTGAGATATAGCTGCCTTCAGGAAAGGGTTCTGGTGGAGGAAGGCTATGAATGGCCGTGCCATGTCCCTTGCTTGGTGGCTAAGAGAAATGTTCAGGTGTTTCTTTGATTTTGATTTCCAAAGACTGTGTAGCTGTAGTTAAAGCTGCAGAAGATTCACAAGTAGTCTGCTTACATTCTAGGATCCAGCGGTGAGTTTTTCTTGCAAACAAGCTTTAATCAGAGTACTGAGGCCAAGGAACAAACGGAGACATGTGACTCTGCCATCTTCTCCACGGAGTAACACTCCCATGGGTATGTAGAGTCCTGGCACCTTTTGTTTTTGACTGATCTGAGCTACTTGTATGCAGGTGTTCATCTAAGAGCAAGTGTCATGAGCTTTTCCATGGGGTGTCAGGAAGCCAGTCCTATAAAAGAAAAAAAAAAGTTCAAATCTGATTTTTTTAAGCTGATCTCTCTTCTTGGTGTTACATGTTTCACTTGTCAGATCCCTCTGCCGTATTCCTACTTTAATTACAGTTTTGCACCATTGCACCTTTTAGTCTCTGATGCTCCAAGCGGCAATGATACTTCTCTCTGTATATTAAGGGGTTTATAATGCGGCCATCAGTGTGTGCTTCTCAGTAAAATTAGCATCTCAGAGAGAAGTCTTTTTGGTCTTTTTCATGCTGCACAGTGCTTGTGGAATATGCCACATTGGATACAGAAGTACTGTGGATAAAAAGAGGACAGTGTAGGTTTTCCTTGCACCTTTTTACTGCTTTGGAAGGGCCATATAAAAATCCAGCTATTCGGTCCTTGCCGCATCTACCAAGAACAATAGCAAGCACTGAAACCACCAACTTACCACGTAGGTCAGCGAACACTTGTCATTGTTCATCCCAGGCTGAAAGCAGCGGGATTTGTAATTGCATTAGCTCTTTTCCCCTTACCAGTCCCTTGACCAATCCGTGGGGAGTTTGTCCCATAAAATATAAGTGTTCATTTTCCCAAATGTAGTTAAGGAGATTGGCATAGTGAGATTTTGGAAGTTCTCTCTTCTCTTCTTCCATTTACTTAAATGTAGTTCATCCTCTGAGATCTGAGAAGTCTCCACAGTTTCCTTTTCTTCCACACAACCCTCTCCACCCCCAAAGCAGAAGACAAACACCAAAAAACATATGCTCTAGCCATTGCTTAGAAAGATGAGGGAAGCAGGAAATAGCTTCCTTGAGGGCAAGCTGGTAGATCTCCTCAAAGCAATTTTGAGATGCTGCTTTTGACCATACCAGGACCAGAGTCTCCATGTGCTCTGTTTCCTTATGCCAGGCCCGTCTGTTTTAAACAGTGACCTAGAAATAGCAGTGTTGTACGAGGGGTTTTGCCATTTAAATGTCTTCCCTTATGGCCCTCTCTCCGTTCCTGAGAGTCCCCCATATAATTGGTGAAGAATCCTCATGTTCTGTTCCCTTGAGACTTCACATCACTGCAAAAATGATTGTGCACAACTCCCTGTGGAGCCCCATCAGTTGTGTTCCTCTGGTAGAGGGTGTTTTTGCATGGAGGCAGTCTGATGCCGAGCATTCTGTCTTAATAACAGAACAGGAGTGGAATTTGGATAGTAGTCCTGGGTCTCCCACACGGAGAAACGGATATGTTTGTGAATGGTATCTTTGTGGTCCAGGAGATAAGGATGATGATGACGACGATGATGCAGAAGACAAAATGCAGACCTCGGGGATAGCAAATGGTGAGCATATTCGACAGGAAAGCCAGGAGCAAAGCGAGGTTGATCATGGGGACTTCGAGATGGTGGTGAGTGTAAAGAGGCTTTTTCCCCATTTTAAAAGTCATTAAGTTTTGTTAAATTGTGGCAGGCCAGCCCTTTGTCCTCCATTGGACATGGTTGGTCTATTGGACAGGGGTGGTTTGGTAGAAGTTTATTGTGTCCCGTCTTTTCAGTCTGAGTCAATGGTTCTGGAGACTTCTGAAAATGTGAATAATGGCAACCCTTCTCCCCTGGAGGCTCTTCTGGCTGGAGCAGAGGGATTCCCACCCATGCTGGACATTCCTCCAGATGCAGATGATGAAACAATGGTGGAACTGGCCATCGCCCTAAGCCTGCAGCAAGACCAGCAAGGTAAGATGCAGATGTCATTGGAGGCCGATTTTAAAATCCCACTTCAAAGTGCCTAAGGGAGTCTCTCGCCTATTAGATTTCCTGTTTGAGATCTAATTCCCTTAGAAAGCATAAAAAGGAAATTCTATCCTGCTCTCATCAAAGGCTGCATAGGAAGTTTGAGGAACGGAGTCATGTCTCCAGACCCCCAGACCGGTATCTGAGCAACAAGATTATTCTTTCTGCCTCAGATGACAAAGTAGGCTGAGTTGCATTGAAAATAGAGCAGGTGAGACCCACTAAGCTGAGAGAGAGGCCATACTGTTCTTAAGGGATGAAGGGAAGTTATGGTTACATGTATTTTTAGTTTTTTAATTTTATAATGGAAAGTTTTTGTCAGTGCCAAGTTACAGTTAAGACCTTCATGGAGGAAGAGGTCTCTAAGGGGGGAGTAGGTGGTGGCAGATTTGGTGTAGGAAGAGAAGGAAACGCTATCCAAATTAAAGGGCCGATACCAAAGGAAGTACTAGTGTGACAGGGGAAGGGAGATCATTAGCTTGAGAGGTTTGCATGCAGGGAAGTGAAGGGATGGTTTGGTCGTATGAGAAGAGACAAAAACCAGTTAGAACTGTTTTGAAGGAATTCAAAGCAGAAGCAGCACTTAAGCAGAGACGGCAATATGAGCGAATGCTTCTTCCTCTCTTGCAGGGAGCAGCAGCAGTGCACTTGGACTGCAGAGCTTGGGACTGTCTGGCCAAGCCCCCAGCTCTTCCTCTCTTGATGCTGGAACTCTCTCTGACACCACAGCATCAGGTAACTGTTCACTGCAAGGAGTTAAGCGCAGTCCATCTTGAATCCCACAACTATGCTGCCTGCATTGCAGGTCCCCGAGTCCTTCTGAAATGGTTTTGACAAGCAGGGTTTCCTTTACTCGCGGGCTTTGCCTGCTTTAAAATGTGCATTTGGCCCCGGAAGTCTGGTATTCAGAAGGAAATTGGCATTTTTTTATTTTTATTTTTTTTACCAGCAGTCTGTTCTAAGGCTTACACAGCAGCCCATCAGGCTAGCTTGGTTATGGCACACCCCTTTCAATAGCCAGCAGCACAGATATAGCATCAAGTCCAGCTGTGTTTGACTTCCCAGCATGAATGACCAGGTACCCAGTTACAGCTGGGTTCCAAACTGAAGTCAAGTGACAACTTCCCGTCTCTAGATCTGCAGTGAAACGTTCACTTGCTCTGCTGTTGTGCCTCTAAAGACATAGTAGGGATATGCTATTTCTTTAACGCTTTCTAGAGCATCTGCAAGCCAAGCACAGCATGCGTCTTTCAAAATCTGGTTTCCCTTGTGCATGGGCCTATGCTTATGCTCAGGCCCTTTGCGTATACCACTGTGGTCACAGCAGTTAACTAATGGTGTCAACTACAAGTGTAACCAATCTCCACCTAGGTGTGCAGATGTTGCAGTTAAATCAGTGCCCAAGCAGAGCAATGCTTGTGCCCTGGCAGAGGTCAAACCTTTGTGGTCCATTTGGAAACTTGAACCCATCATATCTAACTAAAACCGTGAAACCAGATTTGCTCCTGAACTTGGGTATAACAAGGGCACCGCCATTATGGTTGGTTTTATAATTTTGATAGTGTTCTACGGACAGTCCTCTTTTTTGGAAGGATTTAAACTGTATGTAATTTCAGCAAGAGATTTCCTCTTCATGTAATAAAGCCACCAAAGCAATTTTTCTCTTGCATTTAATCAGCAGCCTAGTAGAACTCTTCCCAGAGTTGATACAGCCGTTGGTTTGATAGGCAAGTTTTCTTTACTGGAAACAGACCACAGACTTTTCCTGACCTTTATCTCTTCACAGCTGTCTCACTGAGCTAGAGGTAGTGAGGGATGTTTTGAAACTCTTCTTATTCAGTTTTTGATAAGACAGAAACCAAATAATTTGTTCTTACTTTTCTTCTCTAGCATGTGCTCTTTTGGAGTTGTATAAAGACACTGTTTTTACTTGTAACAGCTCTCGTTACTTTCTTAGCTCCAGCGTCGGATGATGAAGGCAGCACAGCTGCGACAGATGGCTCTACTCTTCGGACTTCGCCAGCTGACCACGGTGGCAGCGTGGGCTCCGAGAGCGGGGGCAGCGCAGTGGACTCGGTGGCTGGCGAGCACAGTGGTAATATCTCTTGGTGACTGACTTGGTTCGGGTGCGGCTAGAACAAAATAGTCTTGGATGATTGGGCTAGAGGGGAATCTCAGCTCCAAGTGCTCAGTGCTGTGCATTGTTTCACTGCTAGTCTCATAGGAACCCAGACTGTTTACCAACCATGTACTCAGTCACTTCACTGTCCCTCTTCGTAGTTCCCCGTGTGGTGTGGACCATCCGAAGGTTGTTCAATGGCCCACTACTAAACAGCATTTAGAGCAAGAAGTAAAGAATAGAATGATATTTGCTGAAATGCAGAGCAAGTAGAATGAATTTGCCTGCGTTGGAATAAGAACAAGACACAGGACTACTGCCTTACATCTTGTGAAAAATGCTCATTCATGGTATTTCTAATGGTCACGGCTGCATTCGGAAGTTGTTTTCATTAAACTGCCCATTCTCTAAGCCTTCCACATTAAATCTGTCTCCCTTTGGGACAAGCTAAATCTGTGAAACAAAGATGGGGATGATACAAGATCTGTTAATAATTGCTATGCAACTAAAGCTCCTTTTTGTCCTTGAAGATACCCACAGACATCCTCCCCACTGCCACCCCCACCCGCTACAGATCCATAAAACAAGAATCTCAAATAATGGCTCAGCTTTGCAGTTTACGATGAGGCATCGGCCAGATCCAGGTTCAGTAGGGCTGTTGTTATCTTTCCTTCTTTTTGCAGTGTCTGGCCGCAGCAGCGCATATGGTGACACCACAGCTGAGGGCCACCCAGCTGGGCCTGGCAGTGTCAGCTCAAGTACTGGTGCTATTAGCACCACTACAGGACAGCAGGAAGGGGATGGCTCAGAAGGAGAAGGGGAAGGGGAAGCTGAGGGAGATGTCCACACAAGCAACAGGTGAGGGGCTTTATTTTCCCATTGAAAGAGTGCAGGGCTGGGGGGGCCTGTCCAGATGCCGCTAACACTGCTTATTCATTCAGAGGCGCTTTGTGCAGAGCATTGTTTGCATGTAACTGGTAAGTGTCCTTATCAGATGCTGCCTGCAAGACTTATGCTTGCAGGGAAGAGCAATCCGAGGTAGTCCAGTAAGTCTAGTGAGCCACTAAAACTTCAACCTGGGGTTGGTAACTTGTGCAGTTCAATGTAGAAATAGCATGAGCCATCTCTACCCAAGTCTGCTGTAACCTGGCTGCAGTTTCTCATTAGTTTTTGCCCCTTCCTGTTTGTAGATACACAGTCACTTGCCCACTGGTGCTGTCCGCAGATTAGAATGGATTCAGAATATGTGTTCTGAGTCAGTTTCTCCCAGCCACTACTTGTGCTGGGAAAGCAACTGTGCTTTGAGTCCAGAGAAGTAATCGAATTTTTCCTTGACGCCACAGTTGGTTGGGTTTTGGGTTTTGGGGGGGTTTTTGCCTTTGACCTTACTTGTCTGTCACTGGTCTCTCTTGCTTTCCTGGATCATCTCTACTAATTTCCTTACCTCAGACTGGTGAGGGAGGCATTGATTCCTGCTCTGAGGTTTTGCTGATGTGTTAGGGTTTGCTATTTGTAATGCTTTGGAGTCTTATGTTTATTGTAGGATGTCTAAAGGGCCTCAGATCTGAATCCTGATTTCTTTCCAGGCTGCACATGGTCCGTTTGATGCTGTTGGAGAGACTGCTGCAAAACCTCCCCCAGCTGCGCAACGTCGGAGGAGTCCGTGCCATTCCTTACATGCAGGTAGCTTACAAAGGAACCAGACAAGGGATCCTGTCGTCTGGCACCTACCACAGACATATCTAACACCTTTTCCCACACAAATTGATTTTGCATGGATCTTTTCCGATGCAACCAAATTACACCGCATGATCCCTTCCAGCGAGAGGCAAAGACCCTTTAAATGGTTCAGTCTCACAGATGACCTTCCAGGCCCTTTAGTTTCTGCTAGATGTAAACTCATAAAGATGCCATTACCTTTTCTGAGAGAGTGACATTTTTGTTTTCTTATACGCACAGCTAAATCCTAGGAGGTTCTGGTGACAGTGCCAAATGTTGTAATGTTCAGGTGTGATGGCTGAGGTAGAACTCAGGCAAGAATGAATCTGAATCTGACATTCTTCTGTGGGGTTTAGTCCCTTGCTCTCACCTGTGACCGTAGAATCCTGATGTTTCCAACTCCCTAATTTCTGATTCCAGGTTATTTTGATGCTCACAACAGACCTAGATGGAGATGATGAGAAGGACAAGGGTGCTTTGGATAATCTTCTGTCCCAGCTCATTGCAGAACTGTGCATGGACAAGAAGGTAATGTGTAGTGCAGACAAATACTTGGAGCTTGTTAGAATTTGTAGCTTAGGCCCTTTCCATTAAGAGAGAGCTGAGGAAGAGCAGTTTGATTGTCTAGACCATGTATTTCACTTGCTTTGCTTCATAAATGCTAACTGAGTAGAGTTCCCACATGGTTCTAATGCCAGCAAGTCAGTGTGCAGTGTAGTTACAGAGTTTTACTTCACTCAAACCTTTAGAACTGGCCTTCTCAATGACATGATGCATTCTGGCTTATTCGGATTACCTGTGTCCTTTGGGGTCTGTGCTGCCATCAGTGCTTAGGAGACTTGCACCGTTAATGTCTGTCACTGCTACAGCTTCATTTGCAAACAGTTTCCCTGATCTTAGATTGGAATTTCTCCGTGGAGCTTCATAAGTGACTGGTCTCTTCCCCTTGCAGGACGTGTCCAAGAAGAATGAACGCTCTCCCGTGAACGAAGTTCATTTGGTAGTAATGAGGTTGCTTAGTGTGTTCATGTCCAGGACCAAGTCAGGATCTAAATCTTCCATATGCGAGGTATGAGCTCTGATTGTGTTTGCTGGGGGCTTTGACACGTGGGATCGCAGTTCATCGCCAGGCAGAGGTGGGCTGGGGAATACTCCTTGGAATAGATATCATAGGACTGAAGGAAAGTAGAAGTGATTTTTGGGGAGTCTGTAAGACAAGAAAACCATGCTAGAACTGTGAAGGCAAAACAGGCAGGGCAAGAAAGCTACAGTAACTTCTCTGTCAGTTTGTGGGTTAAGCCCCATTCTGATCTGGGGCGAGACAACAGATAATGGTGTTTTTTAAAATTGTCCAGAAGTTTTCCTTAAACCACGTCAGTGCTGAAGGGGTTAAAGAGGATTGGTAATGTGATTATTGGAAAGTAATATGCTGCTGTGTCAACCTAAAAGTCGCTAAGAGGATTCCTTAGATATTTGTTGCTAAAAGGTACAGTAATAAGGCATAAAAAGCAGTATGTGTGGTGGGAAGGAGATTAATAAAAAAAAGCATAGAGGTTAAAAAATTTAGTCTGAACTGCATCAAATTTTAATGAGCTTATAAGCTGTGGGGTTTGTTTGGATTTACAGGGCTGCTTTAATAGTTTTATTTACAGTAGCTTTTTCTCCAGCCTTTGTTAGTCACTTGAGCTTCCCACCGAAATCAAAGCCCGTCGTCTTGCAGAATGCAGGTGGAGCAGTACCTGGGTGGAGCAGCATCTCTGAGCGGCATCCCCCCCCACCCCCCAGCTGGCCCAATCCCAGATCAACAAATAGAAATCCCAACTTTAAAAAAAAAAAAAAAAAGGAAAAAAAAGACTAGCCGTCTAATCCGTAGCACAGTGGCCTCTGGCACATGTGTCGAGGGGAGATTAGACTTAAGAGGAGATTTTATTTGTTTTTCTTTACTAAGCGCTTGTTCAAAAGAGCCTCCAAATATTTCAGTTGATTTTTCTTGAAAAACCTCAAACAAACTCCAAACTTGAAAGCTGCCTGTAAAGTTTCATCAGAAATCTGCCCCCTTCCTTGCAGAGTTTGCAAGTGCCTGCCTGGCATTAGTGGCTTTCTGTGTTCTGTGGAAATTGCTGGTTCTTCAGAGTTTGAGTAACATTTTTTTCCACCTCCCTTCTCAGTCCTCTTCCCTCATCTCAAGTGCTACTGCGGCGGCATTGCTGAGCTCTGGTGCTGTTGACTATTGCCTGCACGTGCTGAAGTCTCTCCTGGAGTACTGGAAAAGCCAGCAGAATGATGAGGAGCCTGTAGCCACCAGTCAGCTGCTGAAACCCCACACCACCTCTTCCCCTCCTGACATGAGCCCCTTTTTCCTCCGTCAGTATGTGAAGGTGAGTTGCACCCCGCACCAGTCGCATCCCCATGTAACTTCTCTTGGCCAAAACACAATAGCATCATCCTGTGTGCACCTCCTCTAAGTTAACACTCCCTCTCTTCAGTTGTGGAGCTCAATAGGCACCTCGGGGAATGCTTCGTGTTCTTTGACAGCAGAGCCCTGCTTGTCACGTCTGTTGATGAGCTCCCTATGTCAGGCAGTTCTGTGAAGCTGCTGTCATTGTTTCTTGTTGAAATGTTAATCTTCCTGAAGGGAAGCTACTCACTCCATGGGGGTGACTCCTTCTGCTTGGCATGCAAAATCCACAAACCACTGCTGCTTATTATGGCAAGAACGCCTTGCAGCTCTTGATGGGGATTTCCACTCTAAATCCAAGGCTTGTTCAACCACCATGGTGTCTTTATTCTAAGGTTCCACTTGTGTCAGAGCTTTGATTTTTGTGCACAGGTGCAGTAAAATAAGCCATGTTAAATGTTAGGAATGCTTTCTAAGGTGAAGGATAACATGTCAAAACACTTTCAGGGTAAGGAGACTTACTGCACCACAACCGCTACCTTTCAGTCAGCTCCCCTTGGGGGTTTGCTAGCTTTGTGTTCATCTGTCAGTCAAGGGTTTTCATTCTAGTCATGAAGGAGCAAGTGAGAATAAGATTCAATAGTAACAGATTAATCTGACTAGTAAATGAGCAGTCCATCATCTCTCATCTCCCCTTCCTTCCTAAGCAGGGAATGTTTGGGGTTTAAGCTGCATTTTCCAAGATAACCCACTGTGTGTCCTTGCTTTCAGGGTCACGCTGCAGATGTTTTTGAGGCCTATACTCAGCTGCTGACCGAGATGGTGCTGCGTTTACCCTATCAGATCAAGAAGATTGCTGACACCAACTCACGCATCCCACCGCCCATCTTTGATCATTCTTGGTTCTACTTCCTATCTGAGGTAGGTGAAGAACATGTCGCACTTCTGGAGATGGATGTAGGGTTTCTGGGTAGTAAGAGAAGAAAATGAGTATGTGATCCTTCCTCAGCATGACTGATCTGGCAACCTTCTTCCACCCTGCCCTGCAGAGAGGGTTAGCTCCCTGGCATTACATGCATCTGTATAAAACGGATGTCTATGGAAGCGCATGCTTCAAGGATTGGGTTGCCATTGCTAGCCATAGTTCAACATCAAATCAAGAGTCTTCAGATAGATAGTAGTGCAACTTGGAGCTCCATTGTAGTATTTTATTGACATCCTTTAGGACAAATCATGGTTTTGGGGAAAAATATTTTTCACTTCTCTCATGCCTATTTCTGTCACAACCCAAAATGTAGCTGTTAATTCAGGGGAAGGACTTTGGTCCCATTGTGGTTTACGCAGTTATGCTATGGAGGCGTATAGCTCCATAGTCTGTATCCTTGGTACTACACAGCACTGTTTTGTGTGTAGTCTTTCTTCTGTCAGCTGCGAAAGTGTGATGGTATGTCGTTGGGTTCTTACAAGCTGAACCACTCTTTAAAGCCTCTCTAGTTCACAGTTTTTCTGTGGAAATAGCATAGTTCAGGTTACCTCATCTCACCGTGAGATTCTTTGATTACTGTGAATGGCCTAGGTCAACTGCTATTGATATCATAGCATTGATGTCAAGCTTTGCTTTATCTAGTACCTGATGATCCAACAGACTCCATTCGTACGCCGCCAAGTCCGCAAGCTTCTGCTCTTCATCTGCGGCTCAAAGGAGAAGTACCGCCAGCTCCGGGACCTGCACACCTTGGATTCTCATGTCCGCGGAATTAAAAAACTCCTGGAAGAACAAGGCATTTACCTTCGGGCAAGTGTGGTCACTGCAAGCTCAGGCTCTGCTCTCCAGTATGATACACTAATCAGCTTGGTAAGGAGAAGTGTGTTATAGTGGACAGAGTGTATATGTGTGTGTCATGAATAAGGCGTATTGTGTTTAAAGAAGGTGACATTAGAAGAGTTGACTTACATGCCATGCTGCCCTGCCTTTCAGATGGAACACTTGAAGGCTTGTGCGGAGATTGCCACACAGCGAACAGTGAACTGGCAGAAATTCTGCATTAAAGATGACTGTAAGTTATCTCCCTGACAATAGTTCAGGCCTTCATAATATGCTTTAGTTTTTTCCAAGGCATCTCAGATCTATAAGAGCTTCTGCATATGAAGTTTAGCACAGAGGAGGAAGAAGGCATTGAGATAAAAGCATGGAGTGGCCATGCGTTTATTCTTTTGCTAATTATCAGTATTCAGTGGGTTCAGTTCAGTGAGTAGAGAAGTTAAAAAGGGAGAAGAGGGGCAGTGAGGATGGCACATTGGGCTGGGAACTGAGATACCTGCCTTCCCTTACTGGCATTGCAGTCTTGGGCAAACAGATTCTTTGCCACACGGTCTAATCCAACAAGCAGCGCAGTGCCATCTCGCAGGGTAATTTTTTTATGGTTCTCCTTATTTATACTTAAAACTTCTCCTTCCTCCACAGCCGTACTCTATTTTCTCCTTCAAGTCAGTTTCCTGGTAGATGAAGGAGTGTCACCAGTTCTCCTGCAGCTCCTGTCTTGTGCTCTTTGTGGCAGCAAAGTGCTGTCTGTGGCCTCATCCTCTGGATCTAGCACCTCTTCCACCTCTGCTCCAGCAGCCTCTGGCTCTGGGCAGCCAGCAACACAGAGTAAATCCTCCACCAAAAAGAGCAAAAAGGAAGAAAAGGAGAAAGAGCGAGAGGGTATGCTGCATGCTGTTAGCCTGTCTGGGATTCTGCCTGTCCGAGAAGTAGAATGTATTCCTCCCCAGATGGATTTCTTGTTCCATCTAATCAGTGTGCTGCTTATGGCAATTAACGCCATTCACCTTGAACACGAGTGGCTCTAGGCCAGTGACCCAAGAAATACTTCACGGATAGTTATGTTGTTGGTTCATTGTTGGTTAGAGAGAGTCAAAAGCAGCACCTGTTTCCTTAAAAGCCGTGCTAGAATTAATCTGAAGTGCGTAGGACATCACAAGCCCTGAATAAGGCTCTCCAACTTGCCTGGGCCTTTAATTCTGATACAGGCTGTCCCTGCAGGTTCCTTACCCAGCATTAGTGGATGTTGAATCAGCTGTTGGGGGATGTATCCCCAAAACCCAGTCAGCTTCCTCTGCTCTTAAGTGTCTGCACTTAACTGTGCTACCACTCCATCCTTCCAAGGTTTATTATATGAGCTGGTGTCTGCCTCAACACTTGGCTTGTACGTAGGAAATAGCATGTTTAAAACTTCCTGTCAGTCCTGAAGTCTTGGTCCTCAATCTCCACAATGCACTCTAGAGCTCCACATCAAATTATCACCTAAGGAGCTTCCCACACTGCAGGCTCCCATGTGGTAAGGAAAGCCTTTAGGTGATCTGTTTCAGCAAGAGGAAGAGCTGATGTTCACTACCAGAGAGCCTGATGCATTTCTAGGAACCCCTCCCCGGCAAGCCGTTCAGAGATTGGCTGGCTTGGTTTAATTTTAGGCTGTCATTCAGCGTGGATCCCAGACCAGAAACCTGTTTGCTTTCTTGCGGACACTTGCAATACATAGAATTGCTGTCCATGGTTGCTCCAGTCTCTCCTGCCATGCCCCCTAAGCAGGCACTGTGGCACATTTGCACTGCATTCATTCCACCTGGTTTTTTGCCCTCTTCTGACTTCTCTCTCATGCTGTTTTCCAGGTGAGAGTTCTGGCAGCCAAGAGGATCAGCTGTGCACGGCTCTGGTGAACCAGCTGAACAAATTTGCCGATAAGGAAACGCTTATTCAGTTCCTGCGCTGCTTCTTGCTGGAGTCCAACTCTTCCTCTGTGCGGTGGCAGGCCCACTGTCTGGCACTCCACATCTACAGGTGAGTGCTGAACCTAAACCTCTTCTCAGAGTTGGGTCCTTTGTGACAGATGGGTTGTAGGGTGTGTAAAGACGCAGAAACCCATTACAGTGCTGAGTGCCAGCAAGCCACAAGTACCAGGCAAAGAGCACTGTTCTGATGCAAGAATCCACAGAAAAAGATGCCCCGAGGACAAAGTCCTTGTTAATCTGAAAGTGCCACGTATGAAAGCCTCTCTGTGCTTGGGGTGTGTTCAGGTCTTTCAGCTGATACGATTGTCTCAAGGACCAAGCTTCTAACATTTTGAAGTGACCTGTTCTTGTTGCTTAATCACTGCTGGTCAGTCCCCATATTAGTCCAAAGGGAAGACTGCGTTTCCAGTTTGCTGAGCCTGTGAACTGGAATTCGTGAGAGGTTAACTTTCTTTTCTCCAGGCGAGTGCAAATGAGCATTTCAAGCGCTACATGTGGTCACTTTGGGATAGGCCAGAACTAAGCAGGATGAACTTCTTCAACTTCCTGGACAATTTAGTCGTTGCATGACTGTTAAGCACCTACTAGATGGATTTAATTAGAGAGAAGAGAGGATGTTAAGCTGCAGTCAGTATCTTTCTGTATTAAAGCTCATCAGGGACTAGACTGACCATATAAGAACTCTATGCATGAAAAACAATTTAGGATTGGAGATCCATACACTAAATTAATTTGTAATCTGTCCATCAGGAACTCTAACAAGTCTCAGCAAGAACTGCTCTTAGATCTCATGTGGTCAGTATGGCCAGAACTTCCCGCATATGGGCGGAAGGCTGCCCAATTTGTGGATCTGCTGGGCTATTTTTCTCTGAAGACGCAACAGACTGAGAAGAAGGTAGGTGGTTTTGCTCTGGAAGAGCTAAGGTAAAGTCGCATCCTCTGTTCCACGCACTGCTAAGTAGTCTTCCCTTCTTGTGGGATAAGGGTATCAATCCGCTTATGGTTGAACTGGTTAAAATTTCCCTTCAAATCATTTTTCAATCAGAAATTATCTGTTCGAGGTTTTTTTTTTCTTCTTTAATCCTGTATGACCACTACCTTGAAGCAAAACGAGGGGGGAATGTAGTATGTTTTCTGAGGTATAGGTGGTTAGCCATGTAGGTCTAAGGACGTAGGCAGACCAGGTTCTTTGGGTAAATCTGATATATTTTATTAGACCAACTCAAATACTTGGAAAAAATCTTCTTTGTAAGCTTTTGGGTACAGATACCCTTCGTCAGGCTTGAGGAAGCATCTGCAGTTGGTCTGTACTCTCCAGTTGCTGATGCTTCCTCAGCCTGATGAAAGGTGTCTGTACACAAAAGCTTGCAAAGAAGAATTTTTCCAACTATTTGGGCTGGTCTAATAATATATGCCTCAGAAAACATGCATCTTTTATTGTGAAAGCAGCATATTTAGATGCTCTGATAATTGCACATGTACAAGAGATGATACCACCAACGCTGGGCAGTAACCTCATTTGTTAGTCAGGGTTTGCAGATTGTTCCTGCAGTCAAGGTCTAATTTTAGGTTCAGTGAAAATCCTGATCTGTGATTTTTAACCACTCAGCTTCTTGCGTGTATGGAGCTTGCATCTTCTGGGTATCTGGAAGGTCACAGGGTTGAAGTCTGTGTGTCTTGTTGTGCTGTTGCAATCAAAAAATTGTAAGTGCAGAAAAGAGGATTAGGTTATTACTTGCCTGAGTGGCTTTTTTTTAAAACCGTTTCAGCTGAAGGAATACTCCCAGAAGGCCGTCGAGATTCTCCGAACCCAGAACCACATCCTTACCAACCATCCTAACTCCAACATTTACAAGTGAGTCCCTCCTCCCTTTCTTTCAGTACACCAAGGGAATTTCTCAGTAGACCAGCTGCAGTCTCCAGGGAACACAATTCCTTTGTTAACACAGGCAACAAGATCCCTGCCAAAATCACGTGCTTGCTGCAGTTAGCATTAAGAAAATAGTCAGCCCCCTCCTTTGATCACTTGATGGAGAGTACTGTTACACAGTGGTAGCAGTAATTGGTTGTAATGTTAGGGATGCCTAGAAGGTAAACTGCTGTGGGACAGTTGGGAGCACAGTGAGGTGAGTATGTTTGCTTACCTAAGCAGGAAAAGCAGGTATCAGTCGTAAGTTTGTAACTTCACTGAACTCTTTCCCATTGCAGACACTTTCTCACGTGGTCATGCATGTATCAATGGAACCTTTAATTGTACTTCCAAGTTACCCAGTTACTTTTCTATTTGCATGCTATTTATTTCTTTTTATGGTTGATAAAACCTGCTTTGATTGTCTGTAAGATGTGTTAAAATAGAGCCAGTGACAGCCCCCTCTCCTCCCCTACCGTGTTTTCTCACTCTAGCACACTGTCTGGCCTGGTGGAGTTCGATGGCTATTACCTGGAGAGTGATCCTTGCCTAGTCTGCAATAACCCAGAAGTGCCATTTTGTGTAAGTGATCATCTCTTCTGATTTGGCTCTTTGGAGTAGGGTGATCCCAGCCACTATACGTCAGTTTAACTTCTCCTGTTTTTACATTAGCGGATGTGTGGTTGTTATTAACTGAAGATTTTAATATAATTTGTCTGTCTTCTTCCAGTACATCAAGCTTTCCTCCATCAAGGTAGACACCCGCTACACCACCACCCAGCAGGTCGTGAAGCTAATTGGCAGCCACACCATCAGCAAAGTGACGGTGAAGATAGGAGATCTAAAACGCACCAAAATGGTCCGGACAATCAACCTCTATTACAATAACAGGACAGTGCAGGCCATAGTGGAATTGAAAAACAAGTATGTACTACTCAGCTTTGGAATAGGGTTAGGCTCTTTCTTTGGTAGAATACCAGTTTACTGGGGAGGTGGTTTGTTATATAGGATACAACTCTTTCCTGGAGTACAGGAGTTGATTTTACCTTCCAACTCCTGAAGAGAGGCACAGACTTCTACTTGGTAGAACTCACTGGTCCCTTTTGGGGGAATCATTACAGACTTCAGCTGTAAAATTCCTTCGTCATTTGATCCCAGAGGGGCAAGCCACTTGGCATGGAGAGAGCTTTACCTGGGACAGTATAATGTGAACTGGAAATAAAAATGGAGGTGATGTTGTGCAATAGTTTCCTATTGAGGATCTGGTTATAAACCAAGCAGATGAGTTGTGTGACCTCACTCTTAAAAAATGAGGTTGTCTACTTCAAACTAAATTCCCCTGAGTTTTCCTTTGGATTTTTAAGTTAAGAATTGTCTCATTAATGCAGAGTGGTCTGTAGATGATCCAGCAATTTGTTCATTCCTGCCTATACAGCATATAAAATAACAGTTTTAAGAATGTAGTTAGCCTTGCATTTCAGGTGCCTTATACATCCCACAGCTGAGGTGGCAGCAAGAATATGTCCTTGAGTTGGCCTACAGAGAATCCTCTCTTAGCTCCTCTGTATTGATAGTAATTACTGATCCGTCTGAGGAATGCAAAACGCACTGGTGTCTCTGATTAAGGTCTTGATCCTTGTCTGTGTCTCCAAACAGCTTCCACAAAGCAGTCTATTATCCTACATCTATTGTTGTGTTATGTAACTTTGCCATCTGCTTGTCTTGGATTTGGATCTTGTCACTAAGTTGCTGGCCCCGTAATCGTCTGTCTATGAGCTGTGGAACAATACATTCAGCTTTAACTTTAATTGCCTAGCTTGTTTTCAGATGAGTGGGTTGAACAGGGTATCAGCTTGGCTGCATTGTTTCTTGCTTTACCATCCCTTGGAGAATAACACTCTCAAAGTAGAGAATATCGCCATCTTCTTCTACCTTAGTAACACATTGAGCCTCTACCAGGACCTATTTTCAATCCAAATTGCCAGTCTGAATTATACCTCTAAAAATTGCATTAGCAAATAAATGTCTTGCTGACCCAGCAGATGATTTACTGGACTTTTTTTTTTTTTGGAGACCAGTATGACCAACCTCTGCCACATAATGGAAGCTTGTTATTTAGGTTTTCCACAGGCATCCAGAAGTATCGACCCCTGCCCCCCACCCCCCCACCAGCATCACTTAGTTAAACAGAGCCAGACCACGAGGGAGGAGGAGGTACTTGTTTTACAAGGGGTGGGACTGAGAAGCCAAGCATCTTGTCCAGATCTGCACAAGTCAGTAGTAGAGCCAAAAATAGAAATTGGATCATTTAACTTGCAAATAACTGTTTTAACCACTCAAAATGCTCCTTTTCAGTGTTTTATTCAATTGAGAGCCACTATATACCTCCCTTCTTTCTTCTTGAGATGTTCTCACCAGAATCAAATCATTTTGGCTTAGGAATTAATCTATCCCTGCTGCTTATTGCTTATTTGAAGTTCTAATCCTCTGTGACATCACGAGTGGCTGCGGTGAAGCGGATTATGATGTCACAAAGAGAGGATTCTGACTTCAGGTTGGGAATAAACGGTAGGAGCAGATGAGATCTTTAGAAATAAATATCCTGTTTTCATGCAAATGCCTTTGCTAATAAAAAATAGAGGTGAAAATCCCTAGAAAATATCTGTAGAATTAAAGTTTTTCCATGAGGCATCAACAGCTCTTTAATCCTAAACAGTCTCTCTATGAAGAGGATAACAGCTTAAAATGTATTTCTGGCTACATATCATGTCAATACAGAAGCTAAGGAAATGAATCCTAGAACTGCTCTCCATTCATCCCGTGCAAAGTAGATTTTGAGCTGAGACGGTTGCGTTTGGCTTGTGTGGGGGCAGGAGGTGACTTTTTGGTAAATGAGTGTTTCTCTCTTTCCCAGACCTGCTCGTTGGCACAAAGCCAAAAAAGTCCAGCTCACCCCAGGGCAGACGGAAGTGAAGATTGATTTGCCCCTGCCCATTGTGGCTTCAAACCTAATGATTGAATTTGCAGATTTCTATGAGAATTACCAGGCCTCCACAGAAACCCTTCAGTGCCCTCGCTGCAGTGCGTCCGTCCCAGCCAACCCTGGCGTGTGTGGGAACTGTGGCGAGAACGTGTACCAGTGTCATAAGTGCAGGTGGGTCTAAATCTGTATGATCACGCTGTATTTTCTCCCAGAAAACCTCTGCCTCATTCAGTGCACAAGGTGGACAGTGCTTGCCAAATGAGCAGCTAATTGGTATTTTTTTAGTTTTTTCTCTTTTAACAAATAAAGCCTTGGACCCACACCCTCAATGTCTACCTTTCTAAGTTGGTGCTATACACACAATTCCCTCATCCTTTTCATTCTCATGTCTCTCCAGTACAACCCCTGCGCCCCCCATCACCTTGTTTTCCCAGTCTTCCTGCCCACCCAGTCCCAGACTCCTTCCAAATCCTGAACAGTCTATGATGCTTTACAGATCTTTTACTGTGACCATGTTAGCATGCATACTGAAATGCCTCCACCTCCAGTATAGAAATATGACAGCAATATAACATCATAGTTTCACTACACTAGACTACAGATAAGAATTACCCAGGCTGCCTGAAAATAGAGGGGAGAGTTTGTTTTTTTTTTTTACTTACTCCAAACAGCTCCTGAAAAATGAAAATGGACGACCTGGCCCACCATCTAATAGTGGCGCCATCCTTGAATTTGTTCCATCGGGAAGTACACAAGCTACAAAGCACCTCTCCGAGTGGGTGCACGTCACCTGGTATTCTTTATGAGCTAGTTATGGTCCTTCTTCCAGAAGTAACCCCAGGTGTGTTATTCCAGGAAGCAGTTAATATGCTTCCAGGTAGATTTTTGTGAAGCTTCTCAAAAGCAGTTTGGCAGGTTAGGTATATTAGTATCTCTTTCTCTCATTTGTACATGTGATTTGTGTGTGCGCACATGTGAATTATAGTCTTACCTACTATCATCCACAACCATCTTTGCTCTGTCTTTCAGATCCATTAATTATGATGAGAAAGATCCTTTCCTGTGCAACGCCTGTGGGTTCTGTAAATACGCTCGCTTTGACTTCATGCTGTATGCCAAGCCTTGCTGCGCGGTGGATCCAATAGAGAATGAAGAGGATCGGAAGAAGGTGAGACTAGAACAAGTAGCAGAATTTACCAGTAAATACAGTCTCTTTTAACCTTGTCTATAATAAAGGCACATTGGAGGTCATCTTCCAGCTGGAAGCTTTGTGGTGGCAATGTGCTTGGTCCCTGGGAGGGGAGGGAAAGTGTCTCATGTGCCACCTTATTCTCCCTGGTTAAGGCAGAGAGTCGCATTAACTGACCTGTAGTATATTTGCTTTGGCACTGACCTTTGTGCCAGGCCCCCTTTCCATTCCTCATCCCTTTAGCAGAAATCAAGTGCAGTCATTTACTTACTGGTTTAGACAAGATGTCCCACTGGAACTCTTTCCAAGAGCAGCACTCTTATTTTCTTGGTAAGCAGCCTGTACAGTGCAATACCTCTTCAACTCTGTGGTGAGAGTGGGGTTTGGTTGTGTTTATTATTTGTACTACCATAATGCCTCTATCACGGACCAGTCTCACTGCATTAGACTGTACAACCCCAGGACAAGACTGCCCATACTCCAGAGGGCTTGCAGTCCTAGATATAAGAGGAGACAGCAAATATGGGGAGATGGAGCTTTGGGGAGATGTAGCAAGAGGCTACTGGGCAGCTTGAATAGGCAGTGATCTCTGTACAGCAACAGACTAATTTTTTTAAGGTTTTGGACATTGCAGGGCAAGGGGAAAGTGTGAAGAAGAATTTTTTAGATCATTTTACAGATGGTTATGTTGATCTCCAGAGAAGCGCAATGGGGCAGCATGGGGGGGAAATACAAACAATAACGGACTCCCTTTTTGCTGTCCACATCTACAGATCAGGTTAATTTAAGGTAGATGTTACGTGCTTTATCTGATGTGTGGCCATGGTGACTTCTAGGAACCGCTGTACCCAAAGGCTTGCAGCTCACAGTCCCACTGAGCAGAAGGCAGAAAAGTAAAGGCTGGATCAGCAGCTGAATCTGCTGAAGCGTGTCACGCTGTTCAGAGGCTGAGTTTAAAGCTTGTATGAACACAAGAGACATTAGTTTTCTCCTTTTTGTTTTCAGGCAGTAACGAATATTAACACTCTTCTGGACAAGGCTGACAGAGTGTATCATCAGCTAATGGGACACCGACCACAGCTGGAAAACCTGCTGTGTAAAGTGAATGAAGCAGCACCTGAAAAGCCACAGGTAACAAGGGATAGACAAATCACAATATGGACTTCAGCCAGGACCAGAGTTGGACGAGATTGGTCATACTGTCACAAACCGGAAATTGCTAGCATTTCTTTTGGGGTTGTGGTGGGGGGGAGCGAAGTGAATGATTTTCTGCTAGTGTCACCGTTGTGTTATGTGAAGCTGTAAGCATTGCTCTTCAGGGACCAGTATCCTTTATCCTCTTCTGGAACGGAAACTGTCAGTACCGTTTCAGGTTCTAGCCTTATATCCAAGGCAGCTTTTCAAGCCAGCTGCAGATCTGTAAGCTGGCCAGTATTGCATTATATAATCTACAGGTGCAGAAGAGTCTCCACTGCTTTCCGTAATGTAATTATGCTGTTAACTTATCTGTTTTGGAGAATCTTCCTTTTGTTTTGTTAGAGAATTAGTAAGCTAAAAGCTGGCAGAAAGACTCGTTTCACACAGACTTCCAGTAGCAAAGAGCTTTTGTTTGCAGAGCTCCCCGGTGTGACTTCTTGCAGATCAAATTTTTGCTGGTTTTCTCCTGTCTCAGGATGAGTCTGGTAGCAGCGGAGGGATCAGCTCTACCTCAGCTAGTGTGAATAGATACATCCTTCAGCTAGCCCAGGAGTACTGTGGTGACTGCAAAAACTCTTTTGAGGAGCTCTCCAAGATCATCCAGGTATGTGTATTCTCTTCGTTGGGCAAACTGGCCTAAATTGTTTCAAATGGTAATTATCAGAAGTGCAAAGCAAGCTGTGGCCATTCTAACAAATAGTAGTAATAAGCTCTCATTAGAGGAGATATAACAGCTAGGTTTTAGATAACTCATTCAAGCGATCCTTTCTGAACCTTTGGCTACTACTGCTAGTTCTTGGATACTGGTAACTATCCCTTTTCCAGTAACCATTGCATGTTGTTCTCTGCTGGTTAGAGGGAACTTGGAGTCAGGCCAAGATTATTTAATGGTCTTCCCAGCTCAGCTACTGATACGTTTCAGCTTTGGGAAGATCGCTTCACTTACCCGCTTTTCCCGTTTGTTAAATGGAGGTGAATAACTAACTACTTTGTGAGGGTGGGTGGGAAATTCATTAATAACTCTACAAAGGTCTGTCAACACCTTTGAGTTGAAAAAGGCTGTATCTAAAATATACAGTCACAATGGAGAGTCTTGAGACCTTGATTAAGTTCAGAAATCATGTAGTCATTCTCCCTTTTCCTTTCACCATTTTGCATTCGAGTCCATTGAAATACAACCCACAAAGTTTAGTGTATTTACATCAAACTTCCCCAAGTTCAAAATGGTTAAACTGTCCATGGCTTTCATTTCTTCTCTTTTTGTATATCTGCAGAAAGTTTTTGCTTCGAGAAAAGAGCTCTTGGAATACGATCTCCAGCAGAGAGAGGCAGCAACCAAGTCATCCCGAACCACTGTTCAGCCCACGTTTACCGCCAGCCAGTATCGAGCGCTGTCCGTCTTGGGCTGTGGTCATACATCTTCAACAAAATGCTACGGCTGTGCTTCGGCCGTCACTGAGCACTGCATCACCTTGCTCCGTGCTCTGGCAACCAACTCTGCCATTCGGCACATTCTTGTGTCCCAGGGCCTTATCCGGGAGCTATTTGACTACAATTTACGTCGTGGAGCTGCCACGATGAGAGAGGAAGTCCGTCAGCTCATGTGCCTTCTAACCAGGTTGGTCCTGGCTCTGAAAATTGCCTGTGGGTGTTTCAGACCAATTGTTTCCAATTGCATTGAGGTACTAACAGCTAGCGGACACATGATGCTGTTACTCTGGAGTACTTTAGTCCATAGTAGCTCTGCAAGCCTTGTGCACAAAGTAACCCGTAGTGTTACCTACTGATCACTAGGCAGGGTAGAGTTGGTTTGCACTCAGTATACAGCTGATAGGGGTAGCAAACATCCAACATCATACACTGGAGTAACTTTTTCTGGAATAAATATACTTCTTTCTCAGAAATAACTGTACACCAACGAACAGCATTGGCTCTGCAGTATGCACTGCATGTGTTGTGTGTCTACTTTACTTTCTCTCTGAAGTAAGTTGAGAATTGAGTAAAGGTGCCATCTAGCTAGATCCATGGAACGTAATTTGAAGTTGCCACATGACTGATGATAATGCTTATTGTAGTAGATAACCCACTTCTAGCCCAAGACGTGAGTTCTCCCACTGCAGTGATCATGTTAGTTTATTCCCTTTGTACATATATTAGCACTATACATAAAGGAGGTGTTCAGATGAAAATATTCTCTACAGCCACTGTTTCAAAGAGACGTGTCTATATTTTGTATTGCTGTGCTGCAGAAAGCTGTATACTAGTGGTGGTGTTAGTGTTAAGATACTTCCTCATGTTACAGGACTGTTTCTAGTAAAATCATCAGGGAGTGGGAAGCAGACCTTCCAAGTTCAATTCCTGACACTTACATCGACCTCACATTTTCAAGCACTTTATAGAGCGAGCTTGTGGTGCTTTCAGTTACTCTGTGCCTGTGTACGCTTCCACACTTCCTTTTGAAGTTCTGCTTGCTCAGCACTTCATAGATTCATATATGTGAGATGTTATTTCTTCTCTGTACTGATCAAGTGCCAAGGCTTTAAGAGGTTACCACGCAAGAGGGAGTTTATAAAGGGCTCTTTTATGTCAGGAAAATGCTAGTTCCACCAAATCGCTGTAGATTTCAGATGAACCAAACCAAAATGAGATATTTGGCATACTGGTGAAATCGCTATAAGCAGTGACTAATAGTACTTCCTTTGGTTCTGGAATTAGAGACAATCCCGAGGCCACACAACAAATGAATGACCTAATCATTGGGAAGGTGTCTGCTGCTCTGAAAGGACATTGGGCAAACCCAGATCTGGTAAGAAACCCTGATGTTTTAGTATTTCTCTTTTCCTTCTTATCCCTCCCAAGCTGCTTTGTGGGGTTCCAGCATCTGCTTCATGTAAAGTAATGTCCCCAGCCAGCCCACAGTCACGAGTGTCTTGTGTCCCCTGGCAAGAATTATGGTAGAAACCTGGAGTCAAACATAGCATGATATATATGATGGTAAATGAGTTTCCTCAAACGGTTTTGCTGAGACATATCCATTCTCTCTTGTAGCATTCCTGATTATTCATTCCTGTGCCCCCCTCAAGCAGGTTGCCACTCACCCCATATAGAGACGTTGAGCTGAGATGATTGTATTGCTAAATATGACGTGGCACGAATGACACTGTCCCGTCACTGAAACTTGCTAAAACTTAGCTTGTTCTTTTGGTGCAGGCTAGCAGCCTCCAGTATGAAATGCTGCTGCTGACCGATTCCATCTCGAAGGAAGACAGCTGCTGGGAGCTGCGATTGCGTTGTGGTAAGTGCAGATACTCATTTAGGAGTTCAAACAAAATTGCTCTGTTAAGGTCTGCATGGATAGGAGAGAGCGGTGACCAAGATCAGCCATCCCAGCACAGATAGCTGGCGTGTAAGGCAAAGGGGCTATCAGCAAGTTTCATCAGGGCAGTATCTCAGCATAGCAGACAGGCTGTGCGAGGAAGGAGGGAAGGAAGTAGAATCATCTCCCTTATGGGAAGGATTATTTTATCATGTGCGACTTCAGGAGAGTATAGTGGGTTGGCTCAAGAGGGAAGGATCTTGCCTGGGATTACCTGGCCCATCGGTGGAGTGGACAGCCAGAGGGGGCTACCTCACCCATGGGTTCCTACCTTGACTGCAGATACTTCAGCACTGTTAATCCCTCTGTCCTTTCAGCTCTCAGCCTCTTCTTGATGGCAGTAAACATTAAGACTCCAGTAGTAGTTGAGAACATCACCCTCATGTGCCTGCGAATTCTGCAAAAACTGATCAAACCTCCTGCTCCAACCAGCAAGAAAAACAAGGTACCTCCCTTAACACTACAAAGCACAGGCAGAGAGACACCTGGCTGAGTAAAATCTTGACGTGCACTATTCCAGCGACACCATGGGTCATGGATTCCTGCTCCTGTTCACTGTTGATGTAGAAGCGCCAGACCCAAGAGCTGGAATCTAGTGGCAAATCTTTGAAGAACAAGATCTACAGATAAATTGATTACTGTTTTGTATTGTTCTTAGTGGTTCAGATCATTAATCCAAACACTTTCCACTTTCTCCATCAAAGACATATTAAGATCTGTAGAAAGAGGGCTCTTGAGACAATAACTCTGATACTTCAGATAGGTTCTTGGAGGGCTTTTACCAGCTCCTCTGAAGCAAGTACACCCATTGATATTTTTTTTTTTTTCCATGTAGTGCTGTACATCAGTCTCATGGGCATGGAGTAAAGTATGTACACTACTAATGCAGTGTCTTGCAGTGAAGCAGAGTGATCTGGCCATATAAAACTGAACCAAACTGTGCTTGTCCAGACACAGAGAGCTGTATTCACCTTTCCAGTGTACAGGCCAGGTGGGAGATTCTGCTGCAGAAGCAGTTTGTCCTGGGAGGGACTGTGGTGCAGGCTGGAGCCCCGTGAGTAGTTTGCCGTAAGGAAGAACTTGAGGCTGTCACGATCCACGATTCTCCCTTTGTTTCCTAGGATGTGCCTGTCAATACTCTCACCACCGTTAAACCTTACAGCAATGAAATCCATGCACAGGCTCAGCTGTGGCTCAAGAGGGACCCAAAGGCATCATATGAAGCTTGGAAAAAATGCCTCCCTGCTAGAGGTAGGATCGTGTCTGTTAGTTCATCTTTGCACAGTTTAACTGCATTTGGGGGGTGGGGGGTGATGGTTGTCTGTGTCCATATTTGAATAGTAACCTTGCTGGCTGGTCTGAAAATTGCTACCAGTCTTCTGTATTCCCCTCACAGCTGATCTCTGTGCTTCAGCTGTACAACGATTAGCATCCTCCAGGGCAGTAGCACTTGCATGCTAGATTCAACCCTGTTGATGCAGGAGTTTTTTATGGACTAAAACCTTAGAAGTGTCTGATGTGAACAAAGGGAGCACAGCGCTAGGAGGAGCCCAGGCCTCCTGAGTTCTTTCTGGCTCTATTGACTCAGATTGAGACCTTGGGCAAGGCACTTGATCCTTTTCTGTCTAACCCCATTTTAAGGTGCAGAGGATACCAGCTCCTTTCCAAGGTTGTTATTAGGAATAATCATCTATAGCATTAATTTTGAAAGCCCCCTGCCTGGGTATCCAAGTTGCAATGTTAAGCCACTGAAATGAAACAGTTCCCAGTCTATCAATGTAATAGTTACCAATGTGAAGCAATTACTGCAGGGACCATCGATAGTTCCTTAGAGTTGTGTTAATGTTTTAGGTATAGAGGCAAATGGGAAATCTCCCAGCAGAACAGAGCTGCACCAGCTCTACTTGTCCGAAAAGTACATCTGGAAATGGAAACAGTTCATGAGTCGCCGTGGGAAGAGAACCTGCCCTCTGGATCTCAAGCTGGGGCACAACAACTGGCTGCGACAGGTGAAAGCGCTTGGAGGGAGAAGGTGTGGGGGATGCCCCGTGCCCAGTGTGAGAGCGGTGGGGTGTGCCGACTGCTTAGCCACTGCAGAGCTGCCAGTTAAGTCACCAACTGGTTGCATTTCAATTCTCCTGCTGTAGGTACTGTTTACTCCTGCAACCCAAGCTGCAAGGCAGGCTGCATGCACTATTGTAGAAGCTCTGGCCACCATTCCCAGTCGGAAACAGCAGGTCCTTGATCTCCTTACCAGGTATCTCATAAGACACAGCTCCTGTGCATCACCTGTCTGTATTGACCCCTGATTCCTGCTAGAATCGCTCTGTGTTCCTCTAAAAGCGCTGCCCTGGTCTCTAGAGCTTAGTCCCCTGTAGAAGATTAAGGTTTTGCAAGTACAGTACTTTAGTAGTGCTGGGGGGGAGGGAGGGAGGGATGGAAAACGTGCATGAGACAGGGGCTGTTCTTCATGTTTCCACACTGTCCTTAAATCCTGGATGCTTGTTCTCATTAAACAGTTCCCTACTTCTGCTTGTTTCCCTGTGGTAGCTACTTGGATGAGCTGAGTATTGCTGGGGAGTGTGCTGCTGAGTACCTGGGTCTGTATCAGAAGCTCATCAAGCCTGCACACTGGAAGGTCTACCTTGCAGCAAGAGGGGTTCTGCCCTACATTGGTAACCTCATCACAAAGGTATGTGTGTGCAATAGGGAGCAAAATAGTACTAGGAAGCAAGCACCCTGTCAGTCTGCTCACCCAGTGCCTGCATGCTGAAGGCTGTGCTGCCCGACTCAGGGAACCAGTCCTCGCTGTGGGATTTTTGAGGTGACTGCTTCCACCTATGAGCGGAAATGACTCCATCTGTCTTATCTCTGGCTGCGCCATGCCATGATGCAAGCTGCCCATTTCTCTTGTGTAACTGCTCCATGGGCAGCTATGCCAAGAAATGAGAACATCTGATACGTGGACTTGGCAGGAGCTTTGCACCAAGCACTGCGCCAGCTGCCAGGCTGGGCTCAGAGGGCAAATACTGATGACAGGGAAGGATTAGGGCTGCTTCCATTCCTCGAGCGTGACTCGCAGGCTGTTGGAGGGGCGGTGCTTGCTGTTACTGTCTTCCAGTATGTGGGTTTCAGCAGCTTGATACTTAAGGGTAGCAGAGGGGAAACCCAACCCTGGCCCCAGGCAATCCACATGGGGGGATAAAGAGTTTGAACTGAACCCTGCAGCAGGGCACCTGAACATTACTGGACTAGCAATATACCTGACCATGGGCAATACACACATCAGGTACAATGCCAATACCAGCATTTCAGGTCCTAGGGGGGACTGTCAGGGATAGGATTGACATATAGAGGATAGGAATGTGGAAGACCTAAGGAATACACCTTGGGCACCAACAGGCAGATTTTTTCCCCCACCTTTGTACTGCAGTTCTGGCTTTTATGTAGCCAGCTTTAGCTCTCTGCAATGCCTGTTAGTAATTTGGTGATCTCACAGCAGCCAGACTCTCTTTTGGGTCTGCTGGGCATTGATCAGCCAGTCGTTCCTCGCACCGCAAGTATGCTTTGCTGCTTGGCCATCCTGATGGGGTTTGTTCATGTTTTTAGGAAATTGCCCGTTTACTTGCCCTGGAAGAAGCCACTCTCAGCACTGACCTGCAGCAGGGGTACGCCTTGAAGAGCCTCACAGGTACCTACTGCCTTCCCATATTGATTGCATGTTATAATTAGAGGTGTGCCTCCCTGGTCTTGGTGTATGGTGTACAGCAGCCTATGGCTCAGTGTCAAACTGCCCCCACCACGGGTGCAAGCAGCAGTAAAGTTGTTTGCTGAGTATCATCAGAGCTGGCTTTAACACGAGAAAGAAGGGCAGCAGCCCTTGTGCAGGGTTTTTTTAATGTGGCAATTTGCACATTTGAGTGCTTGCTCACACACGCACACGATTGGGTAAGTCACAGACTGGGCACTAGGAGTCTCTGCAGGCTGGTTCATTCTGATGTTCCTTTTGCAGTGCAGTTACACATTTGTTCTCTCCCCTTCATGTAGGGCTCCTCTCTTCCTTCGTGGAGGTGGAGTCTATCAAACGGCACTTCAAAAGCCGGCTGGTGGGCACGGTGTTGAATGGCTACCTATGCCTGAGAAAGCTGGTGGTGCAGAGAACGAAGCTGATTGATGAGACCCAGGATATGCTGCTGGAGATGTTGGAAGATATGACAACAGGTAGAGCCAGCTGGCTTCCAGGAAGCTTGATTCTAGGTCAGCTGAGATAGCAAGATGCACATTGCAGCCCCATCAGCACAGTTTCTGACGGACCATTACAGGGTTTCTCATGGTTTTGTCGACAGTGTCATTTTAGAGTTAAGAAATGATCATCGTGCAGCACTTCAAGTCTGGTGTGAAGTGTCATTGCCTAGGGCTGAGAAGCACTAATGCAAGACAGTGGCTTTTTCACACACTTCCCCTCATTGTATGACAGACTTTGCAAGCAGAGCTCTCTAACAATTTCCTTGTGGTCAGGGTGCAGCAGAAGAAATGCCTGGATTTTGAGTTAATTGGTTTCCAGGAATGTCAAGTCTTGTTATGAAAAGATTGCTTTTCTGAAGTGGTGCCACTATCCCCTCTCTTGTGTTAGATAGGTGCCACTTTTCAGGAGAGAGGAGCACAGCCGGGTAGTATCCTGCTTGCTACAAGAGGGTTGCTTGGGTAAAAGCAGAGATCAATGGAAAAACTCAGCCCTGCGCTTCCCTAGCTACCCTGTTCTCTTTACAGGCACAGAATCTGAAACGAAAGCCTTCATGGCAGTGTGCATCGAAACCGCTAAACGTTACAGCCTTGATGACTACAGGACTCCTGTCTTCATATTTGAGAGACTTTGCAGTATTATCTACCCTGTAAGTAGCAGACACACATGCAGTCATATGCAGGTCTTGTGTATATCCTGGAATGAGATACACTTGTTAAAGCAAAGTAGCTTTCACTGCAGCAGAACAGACCCAAAACCATGCAATGCACGGTGAGGTTGGTTTGATGCCAGCCACGTAGAGTTGTACTGATATGCAGTCCCCTTCCTCGACCGCGATACCACAGCAGAGACTGTGCACTTTTCTGATGCAGATAAAACGTCTCTGTGCTCTATTTAATGTGCACTTGCTCTGCTTGCAGGATGTGATCTGTTCTTATCAGATCTCCTAAGTCAGAAACAGTGTTCAGCAGTGGGAGACTTATTGAATGACATAACTGTCGCCTTTAGTGAAAAATTTGCTAGCTATGTGGCATGAAGAGGAGAGGGAAAAGGTGGTTGGGGAAATTTTCACCCACTCGCCCTCTGTCGTTGCTCTACAGGAAGAGAACGAAGTGACAGAGTTCTTTGTGACGCTGGAGAAGGATCCCCAGCAGGAAGACTTCTTGCAGGGCAGGATGCCAGGGAACCCCTACAGCAGTAATGAGCCTGGCATTGGGCCGCTCATGAGAGACATCAAGAACAAAATCTGTCAAGATTGTGACCTGGTGGCTTTGTTGGAGGATGACAGTGGAATGGAGGTGAGCAGGCACAGCTTCGGTTCTCCCGCAGGGAATGTGATGACCCCTGCGATGTTGTGAACTTGTGCTTAGATTTCTTTTCTCCTTCCTTTCAGCTTCTGGTGAACAATAAGATCATCAGCTTGGATCTACCAGTTGCTGAGGTCTACAAGAAGGTCTGGTGTCCCACTAATGAGGTATGTGCGTGCAGCCCCACATCGCTTAATGCCAGACAGGCTCAGCATTTGTCTTTGAAGCCTGAAGGCTTGGGATTGCTACATGCACCCACTTTTGGACTGAAAAAAACACTTTCTGCTGCTCAGCTTTGTGGTATGGGTGACCCAAATGCATGTGCCACTGACCCGGTCTTAATGGAGTGTGCCTGTTGCACCTAAACATCTGTAGGAATCGTAGCCGACTCCTCAGGCTTCTTACCCTCTTGAGAAACCACTGCATTTAGTGTCACTGCCTTTCAATGCTCATTTCACACTCCATCTGCACATGGCAACATGATATATGTGTACAGCCGGGGGACCCCAGATTGCCCCATCAATCTGCATTTCAAAGACCAGCCTAAAATGTCTGTGCAGAAAGAGCATCTGACACCACTCCATATTATTTTGCACTGCTATAGTGCCTTTCATTCAAAGACCTCCAAGAGCTTGACAGGCATTAATCCTCACAACTTGCCGTTAGCTGGAGGTATTGCCCCATTTTTTAGATGAGGAAACAGACACAGCGAGCTGAAGGGACTTGCCCATGGTGTCACAGCAGGCTCATTCCAGAGGTGGGAATAAAATCCAGAATGACTGCCTCCGGTATTGTGCGCTCTATATCCACTAAATTAAGCTCCTACTAAAAAGGAAGCTGTCAGAATAAATCTCCCCCATTTAAAATGTGTTTTCCCAGCCCTGCTAGCACTAATAGCGCTGGAGATTATGAAAGCGGACTGAATTTGTAAAATCTCGGTTTATATGCTTTGCTTGTTCCTAGTTTATTCATTTGCATTTTGCTTCTGGTGGACTGAAGACCCCAATGCCTACTTTCACCTGGAGGTTCCCACTCACCAGCTCAATGGTGTTTGGGGTTCGCTACTCTGGGGAGGGTTTGACTTTCGTTGAGCTGTCATGTTTGGAAGCATTGCTTCTGATACCAAACCTTTGCTGCAAAATCAAGTCCAAAGAGAGTCGATAGTGAGCTTTTTCTTTCTCACTAAGAAACAAGGCCAGGGTTGGGGGGTGGGGAACTGCAGTCTGCTCCTTCTGGTAAATCCCAATTTGAACGTGCTGTCAAGAAAAGCAAACCCGAATATTGCACTTGCAAGGTGGCGGAGTAGTCGGTGTATTGCTTTCCCAAGATGCCCTGCTGTATGTGAAAGGCTGAGTTTGTTCAGCATTACTGTCACCAAACAGCTTTCATCTGTCTTCCTTTGTGTGCATCTCTCCAAAGCACTTCTGGAGCTCCCTCTCGAGTTCCCTAGGAAATAGACAGGCTCACAAGAAGCTAACCTCAGGCCTGGTTTTGTTTCCCTTGTCTCTTTCACCGGCTTTTTTTTTTTGTTCATCTGCCATTTTACCAGGGCCCCTGCGGTGTTAATTGCTGGTCTCTAGCATGGCCTTTGAGCAGATCTTCCCCCAGGGCTTTCCCTGTGCTTATGTACTTGCTCTGACATTAAGCACTGCTTATTCCACATCAGGCTTAGCGTGCTCTCTGACAGGTTTTCTCTCTCGAGGTCTCCTGCTCCCAAATCTGGGATTTTTCTTTTCTGCTTTTTATTCAGACCTTTGGATTAAAATGGGAAGTTCAGTGATCGACAAACAGTGTTCTGGGATAGAAACGCATCTGCAAGCCAACCCGGCCCCCTCTCTGCAGCTAGTCCTTGATTATGGTGGAATCTTCCTAATAATACTACTCTCCTTTAGTAAAAGCACATTGAACTGCTGCTTACTTTTCTCTCCTTCATTTTGCATTATCAGGAGTTGTCTGTTTAAAAGCCTCTCTCCTTGCCTGAGGTTTCGGGTAGACTTCCTCATCTCTTCTTGGGCTGTGGGTTACGCCAAGGAGAGATTGATTATAGAGAAGCTGCCTGCACTATAGACTTACACATTATGCTTCCAGGTGATGGGGCTTATTGAATACCCCAGTTCGGTTTCTCACTAAAGAAATCAGTCAGAGGGGAGGCTTAGTAGTAAAGAGCTGTTAATTAGACATACAGCTTGATAATGGGGCAATGTTAGGGAAGCGACTAGAGTAATTGATGGTTTACTGAGGTTTTAGCAGCATGTGGTTTTATAATAGTTTCTAGCGTCTCTAAAGAAAGAGGAGAAGTGAGCAGTGGCAGGGATGCCCCACATAGCTGTTCTGTGCTGGGTGAAAGAAAACGGATGCTTAAACGCCCGTAATCCCCTCTAAAGAGAATGTGGTGGGACCGCTGTGCTTTTTCAGACACCAGCACAGGAGACATGACATTGTCTAATTCTCTTCCTTAGGGGGAGCCAATGAGGATCATTTACCGCATGCGAGGGTTGCTAGGAGATGCGACTGAAGAATTCATCGAGTCTCTGGACTCCACTACAGGTAAAACCTGGGATTGGATATGGAGCCCAGGGTTTGCTCCAGAGAGCGTGGCACCATTAACCTGGCAGCATTGAGTTCATAGTTGATTGATATCTCTTTTGCTATAGTTACCTGCTTCACTGAGAGCAGATGACCAGTCTGATGACAGCTCTGTAGCCTGTACTGTAAATCTAGGCACTAACATGACCCTTATCCTCGTACTGCCTGTCACTTCACAAACAGTAAATGAATTTATCTTTGCAGTCCTCTTATGAGGACGATGCTAGCCCACCTCACAATGCAGATGGTGGGGAACAGAGGAGCAGAGAAACAAAGCAAGATCTTTTGTGGACTCTGCAGCCTGTTTTGGATGCAATCAGTTCTGTGTCCTGTCCAGTGCTTTAAGAAAAGCATCCC